TGGAGGTAAAAAAAGATAAAAAATATATTCTGTGCAAAAAGTAAGCAGGAGAGCAGATGTGACTATATTAACATCAGACAATAGTGACTTCAAGACAAAGAGCTTTATCAGAAATAAAGATGAACTGTTCAGCACAGTGAAAGCATTTGATTCATCAAAAGACAAAACAAACCTGATATGAAATGAATTGCATTCCCCCAAATTTATATGTTGAGACCCTAATTCCCAATGTGAAGGTATTTGGAGATGGGGTGCTTGGGAAGCAATTAGGTCATGATCCCTAATTACAATAGGATTAGCACCTTTGTAAGAGACTAGATTGCTTCATCTTGGACTTCTTAGTCTCCAGAAATGTGAGAAGTGAATTTCTTTGTTTAACACCAATTCTGTGGTATTTCTTTTATAGTAGTTCAAACTGACTAAGAAAATCTATAAATACGAATGTATCAAGTAATAGAACTTCAAACATGTGAAGCCAAATTGACAGAACTAAGGAAGAAATAGGCATATCCACAAACATAGGTTGATATTTTATCATGAAACAAGTGGAAAAATAAATCAGGACATTATTTGAAAATATGACCAACACTATTAAGCAGCCTAAGTTAATTGACACCCATAGCTAACAACTTACATACTCATGTGCCATTCAAGTACACATGGGATCATTCACCAAAATACACTGTATCTTTGTGTGTGCATGTGTGTGCTACATCACGAAACAAGTCTCAAAATTAAAAAATATATATATCCTTACTAGAAGAAGGAACTGAATTAAAATCAATAACTCAAAGGTATTGAAGAAGGTCTCAAATTTTTATTAGGCAACATACTTCTATATAATCTGTGGGCCACAAAAGACAAAAAAGAGTCATGAAAAAAATTTAAACATTTCACAATGATCAGTATTGAAAATGCATATTAAAATATATGGAAAGCAGCTAAAGCAGGGCATCAAGGGAAATTTATAGCTTTAAAGGTTAATATTAGAAAAGAAGAAAGACTGAAATATTACATTTGACCTCATAAAAATAATAAAGAGAATTAAATATAAGGTAATTAGAAAGGAAATAAGAGAGATTATAGAAGAAACAATAAAAAATCACAAAACATTGATAAGTACTCATTGCTAGTTTTCCACTTGAGAAGTTTGTGCTTCAGCACTTGTTCTAAGGGAGAATTTACCAGGGAACATAAAATTTCCAGTATACTGGGAGCTATGGCTATCTCCTGATTATCTGGGGCTCCTTATACCAATGGATCAACCAACAAAGAAGTTACTCTTCTGGTGGGACCACACATTAGTAATTACTATGTAGGGTTCCTGCTATACAATGGGGGAAGAAAGAACCTACGCAGGAACTATGGGGATTCCTTGGATCATTTCTTTGGTGCTTCTGTGTCTGGAATAACGCTGAATAGGTAACTAGAGGAAACATGGAGAACAAGGACAGAGCAACCAAGAGTCAGACTCACAAAGACTTCAGATTTCCCTGCCAGGAAGGAAATCTAGGTCAGCTTAAGCACTGCCTACAAGTAAAGATAATCAAGATTGAAGGGCAGAGATGATGAATATCAAATATGAACTAAAGACCAGCAAGCTTGGCACTTGTTTTACCAACTATCTACTATTAAGGCTTTGTGGAACTTTTGGCTAGATACCACAAGAGGGGGACTTCACAATAGACGGGACATAAAATTAAAGGAGGGGATGAGCATATATGGAATAGTAGAAGAGGAAACTGTTAATGGACGTCACTGTGTGATACTTCATATTCTCTCAGCCCCATCTCCTACCCTAGCCACTACTACAGAGACCAGATCCAAGAAGGTGTTGATTAGTCTTGAACAGATGCTTGCTTAAGTCCTACATTCTTCTCTTCTGTCCTGGGGTTCTCTGATGTGATGGCATAGGACTCCTATTGGAATGCTCTTGACATTCAAGAATGCATAACCTGGATGTGTGGGGAGATGACACTTGTAGGGATAGCTTAGAGCAACAGGGACAGATGAAGCCTCTTTACTGCCCCAGCTAAACAATTTTGGAGCTGTGTGATAGAGCCTCCAGAGTGCTGGTCAACTTAATAAAAATATATTGCCATGTTGGCTCTTCCTCCTTCCCTGTTTTACTTTTCCTGCCCTTTGCTTCTTATCTCTGAGATTCCTCACAAATGAATTGCTGTCACCTTCACCTTTGTCTTTCTCTCTGCTCTGAGGGAAACCCAGTTTAGGATAAGCATCTTCATGACAGAGAATTGACTTCCTCTGGCCACATGAAACTGTATTCATTCTTCACTTCCTTCAGAAATGATTCAATGCTACTGAGAGTGCTTGAATCAGGCAATCCCACTTGGGAGAATTAACGCTGGCAGTTTTCCCTAGAGAAGACTTTCTTCTTTGTCGACCTCATTGCTAATCGCCCCCAGTTCTTTCTCTTTTAAGAGTCTGAAATAATACATCCAATTTCTTTGAAACAAACAAATAAAGCAAATTTCTAGCTAGTCTTTTACATTAACCCTGCTTAGAAGGTGCCTGCTAAATATTCAGGATTTAGCAAATAACCAGTATCTTAAAATATCCCCCCTTTACCCTTCAGTTACTGCCATTTATATTCTTTGCCCTTTCACAAAGTCTTGGAACCTTGTTTTCTTCTCTTGAAATGACAGACTGTTTTCTTTGGCACAGCTGCAGAGTATAGCAACAGTTAAACTTGCTATGTGAAAAAGCTCTATTTGTTTAGAAGTTACTCAGAAGGCCGTGAGAGCAGGCGACCTGGATTTTAGGAAGTAGCCCCAGGAAACTCAGAGTATTTTCTTTCCTGTCTTCTTGCCAGAATGCTGGTTTTTACTTGGCCAATAATAATTTGCAATAAGCTCAAGATTTATGCTAGCTGGAATCTCACAGAGTATCAGCTGCCTTGCTTTCTTATAGGCAATTGCTTAGCATCATGAAATAGCAGAAACATTGAGGTGGGGAATGATATAGTTAACTTAGGGTTTCACATAACAAATGGGGCTTAATAACCTTCCCAGCTCAATTTTAAGAGCATAGACACTATAACAAAGAAAAAGGATTGACTCTGTACATACACATCCACCAACTTGAAGAGAGATCTAGTCTAGGTTAAAAACAGAATAAATTTCAAAATAATACAATAGCTGCCCCCAAATGACCGAAAAAGGAAAAAGAAATTAGAAATAGCTGCAAATCAGAAGATTCAAGAGCCAATAAAGCCAACTTGGGGACTGATATGTAGACATTTTAACAAAGAGTAACACATCATTTTATGGTAAATAACCATGTGTTTTTTGAAGTCAGAGATATCCAGATTTCTCACCTCGGAAAGATCAAAGAATTCTATAACCTTGACTTTAGGTTGGGGGATGGACTCAAAAAGAGAGGTGAAATTTGCACCCCTAGCTTCATTATCAAAATTTAAAATTTTCTGAGCATCACAAATAATATATAAGAATATTTCTAAACATGAAAGTATCTTTTGTGTTAACCTCATCTGCATGAATCTTATAATTAAGAAAAACAACCAGAGACTCAGAAATATGGGGATTAAAAATGGCAGTGTTCTCTGTGACAGTCCCCTTAATGAAATCTCCTTCCACAATGCACTGCTATTCTGGTTGTATCATCTCAGCCCCCATATTTTTTTCTCTTTATGAAACATTTCTTTTTACTTCCAAGATTGGCTTCTGTCACATCACTAGTCAATCTCAATGGATTTGTTCCACATATTACCTTCAAGATTGTTTATTTTGCTTTACCTTCTCTAGGATACAGGTAATAACATAATTTGCTTTCATTCAGGTTGGTTTTCGGACTTAGGTATTTTGTCAATTTATTTCATTTTCATTTGCCTTTCTCCAATCCATGAGAATATATAATCATTATAATTTTTTACCTTAAAGATATTTAAATTTAAACAAGTCCAATAGAGGATGATCTTTAAAAAGCTTGGTCTACCCTGTAAAGACCAGATTTCAAGAAGAAAATAAAAAGTGAAATTTACCAGGTTCCAGTCCTTCATAAGCTTAGAGAATGATAACTGATGACTGAGATATTACTAGTGTCCACAAGGACCTTTTTAGGAACCATATGTTGCAATTTTAGAGACCAAGTGCTCTCCTCATCCTTTCTTTCTTGTTTCGCCAGCATGACAGTCCTTTGACAGTTAAACTCAAGGATTAAGTCTTTACTTTTCAAAATATGCTTAGTTAGTTGGGCATGGTGGCTCAAGCCTGCAATCCTAGCTGCTTGGGAGGTAAAGATTCAGAGGATCAAGGTTCAAGCCCAACCCTAGCAAAGGGTTCACAAGACCCCATTTCAACCAATAGCTGGACATGGTGGCAAATGCCTGTCATCCCAGCTATGATGGAAAACACAAATAGAAGGATCACAGTCCAGGCTGGTCTGGGCATAAAGCAAGACGCTGTCTCAAAAACAAACAATACAAAGAGGGCTGGTGGAGTGACTCAAGTAGTAGAGTACCTACCTAGCAATCACAAGGGTTCAAACCCCTAGTACTGCCAACAAAACAACAAATTATATATATACATATATATTAATTAAGTCCAACAGCAGCAGTTCATTTAATGACAAATTCATTTGGACTACTATGCATTGTATAAATAAAATGGCTATTTAACAGAGCTTTTTATTTTCAGCTACAAGTCTAGGAATTCCATACAGATGTAAAGTTAGAACAGAATGGGCTGCTACCCATGTTTTAACAAGTATGAAAGTTTTATTCTTTTCATTTAGATTACTAAAACAATGCCAGTATTTTATGTGTTTTACATTAAGTTCCTTCTGCTTTCAATTTACCTTCTTGAATTACATAGAATATTTATTTAGTCATTTATTATTATCTATATTCTTCTACTCCTCTCCTTATTTGTCTTTCTTACATAATTACATTTCCTCTTTCTTGTTGCTTTTTACATTTTTCACAGTTTAAAAAAACAAAATAGAAAAGCCATAAAACTTACCATTTCCACCAAGGATAAATATAAGAACATCCCAGCAGTAACTGTTAAGATCCAGTCTTGGACACATGGGTCAGTAGACACTGAGAGGCCGATATAGAGCCCCACGAAGGCAGTTAGAGCACTTATAAAATTCATCAGGATGGCAGTCTTAATGGAAAGTCCAGAGTTTAAGAGAACAGCAAAGTCTCCTAAGTTTAAGGGGAAAAGAAAGTAATTATCACTTAACTGAAGATGCCTTTGATAACACAGTGCACTACGAGACTGTTTCAAATTTGAGCGACTAGAATCAATTTGGTACCTAGAGTTGATTGCTCAGTTAGTAAAGCTCTTTCCTACATTTCTCTAGGATTCTCCACCAACTCATGCTTCAATTAGGAAGCTGAAATTTGGGAATTCTATTCTTATTGCTTCTCTAAATATAGTCTATATACAGAGGTCTGTAACATATTCTCCAATTCCTGATATCCTATGGCAGTTTTGACTTTGATAAATGCAAAATAAAATTACCCTTTGGCCCAGGGTTCCTAAATCTTTTTGCCTGGAAACTTGCTAGAGAAAATCACATTATTTTGGTTTTTATGCCTAACTTATACAGGAACTGCTGTAGGGAAAGGGAAAAACTGCTTAATCAGAGATTTTTATATCATTGCAAAAGCTAGTTAGGAAAACAAAATTTTCCTTTAGAAAATGGCTTTTTACTGCCTTGATGATTAAAGAAAAATGGCCTCCTTCTCTTTCCTCCAAAAGAAGAAAGATCTACTAATAAATCTGACAGTCATCTATTTCTTAGTCTACAGGATTCAGAAGAGATGGCAATTGAATGAAGGGACAGGCTGGAGACTCTGTTTCCTATTTTGGTTGCATAGTCAGTCCCATGAGCAGGTCTTGAAATACTGTGGACTGTCACAGTAGTCCTCTTTTTATATTTATCCCACTGAGGTTGAGGGTGAGGTACTATATACTATCTTAGTAGCTAAATGTAGGGTCATGGGGTATGACTCCCACACCAGCTACATTTTAATGGGCTCAAGAAGGACCTTGGATAAACTGCTCCAGGAAGCATGGATCAATAATGAGTTGGTGACAAAGCTTTGGGAAATACACACTGAACACAGAGGGCAAAGATGGTCCAAGGGTTAGTGCAAACTCAAAAATGGGAGCAAAGAGAACCAGTGTTAAGAGCCCTCTTCCCTATAGCACACATATGCAGATTCTTCTTTACTATTTCTGGGTCTAATTCAGACATCTCTATTCTATCCCATCTTGGTTTCTGGGAGAAAAGATTTGAATTACAGACCTATTAAAATTATCCAGAAAAAAGTTGTATATATCTGCTCTCATAAGCCTGTCATTTCAATTTTATGCTTGGCTTTAATGATTTTATATAAATCAAGTTGATGAAACCAAAGTTTGGCTTTAATTTAAATGTTACTTAATCTCATTGGCCCGTTTTCTGACATAATGGATAAAGATCTCCTGTTAAAATTTTTCTCACATTTAATGTACAGATTTTAAAGTCCTTGCCAAAGTTCTTTAAATTAAAATTTCTCTGAATGACTCTCTCCCATATAGAATTTTCTGGAATCCACAAAAAGCCATTTCTGGCCCTGGGAAAGATCATAAAGGCATCTACTTGAATATTATGTCAAGGTACCAGAAACTTTTTTGAGTTCTCTTCTGGTTTAAATAAATTATAAATGGAAAGTATTTCTTTCAGTTATACATTGGAAAAAGAATCTAAGGAAACCACAGCTAGAATTATACTATAGCTTTTTCAACAAGCAGGGAACAGTGATTCTAGTATTGTACTTACCCATTTCATGTGGAATTTCATGACACAGGATAGCAATTGTTGTGGTCACTCCCGACTCAGATGAAGATGTGAAGGCTGCTCCTATCACCAGGCCATCTGCAAAGTTATGCAGGCTATCCCCGACCAGTATCATTATTGCTAACAAGCTAATGGCTTTGCCTAAAGAACCAAATAAAGGTGTGAGAAGCATTAGCAGAGCACTACACACATGGAATCCTTCAAATCCAACCTTTCCCTTCCACCTTTGGCATTCTTATGTTACATCTAACTTAATAACTCCACTTTGTCTCAGCTTACAAAATAAGTTGGGTCTAGAGATGTAAATAAGGTAACAGGAAACCTGAAATGGTCACTGTTTTTGTAACAGGTCTGACAAATTATGTATTAGCACCCATTATTATATCATTTTGCCCAGTTATGCCAAAAGAGGAAAATAAAAATGTTTTAACTTCCCAAAATACTACCAGTTATCTTCCCATCTATGTCTTTTGTAATGCATTGTAAAATAATTTAAGAACCTTGCAGTGTTCAGAATGTTTTTGTCTACCTCCCCAAACTCACACATTGAAGCATACTTTCGTACCATTATGGTATTAGGAAGTGGGCATTTGGGAAGTAATTAGGTGATGAATTGGATTAGTACCCTTATTATAAAAAAGATGCCAGAGAGCTCTCTTTCCCCGTCTGCCAGTGAGAAATTGCCATCTATGAACAGGAAAGAGGGCCCTTGTCTCATTTTGATCTTGGACTTTCAGGTTCCAGACCGTGAGAAAGAAATTTCTGTTGCTCATAAATAGTGTGTGGGAGTTGTTTTTCTTTTTTAATAGAAGTTTGAATACATCAAGACAAACCTCCTGCAGAATGTCAATAAAATCATGTTGATCTTCTAAATCTCTTTATCTGAGTCCTTGTGTCAATCTGAGGCAGTGTCCTTTCTACCACTATGTGATCATTGGGTTGTCTTTTCTGATTGGCGCTAATGACCCTCCTAAAATGCTTCATTAAATCCCATAACTGTGGCCACACAGAACCACAACCATCTCTTCTGGCTCTCAAATTAGCTCTGGAACAATTACTCAGTATGCATGTCTTTCTGCAAAATAACTTTCAGTACTATACCATGTGATGCTGAACCAAATAAAGAGAAACTTCAGTTTCGTGGGACCCTAGTATATAATGCATGTTATTGGATTAGGAGACAATGCATGAAATAATTTTTATCATAATTGGGTTTAAGTTTTTATTGGGTAGAATGTCTGTATCTTTTTTAAAAAATCAACCTAAATTTTATGTTATAACCAAATTATAGAGGTGAATGACTAGCAAAGTATTTTGAGGATAACACTTGTGCTGACAGTCAACTACCCAGGTGTATCATTTGATGGGAATAGTCAGTAAATAATTTTCATTGTCCAAAACTTCACTAATTATTCAGCTGAAAATATACTGTGCAACAAGTAAAAGTAGTAGCTGTGGTTATTTTTAAAACTGAATACATTACTTTCATAATTGCAGCCAGTAGAAATAGCAAGAGGTTATGGTTTGGTTTCTACCCCCAGAGTTTAAGGCTGAAAATGACTGCATTCTAATAAGTTTTGGTATCATATTTGGGAAATGTCATTTGATGCACTGCATATCCCACACCACAAAAAAGTAACTTCAGCAAATGACAGTCACAGCCCAGATATTCAGCCAGACAGAGCTATCATGACTGTGTTACGAAGGTGGTCTGTGCATCTTACTTCTAAAACTCAAACTTACTTAATACTATCACTATAGGACTAATGTAAATCCTTCTTGTGGTTTACCAACTCATTTTAGTCTTTGTTTAAAATGGACAGATTTCAGGAAATAGTCATAAACACACAGAACAAGTATCAATTCATTGAATTCAGAAAGTCTCTATTGGCACTACCTGGAAGCTCTCAGAGTCTAACAGCAGTATTTAAATCACTTAACTGTTTCTGCCAATTTTCAGAAATAAAGTTCTTTGTGAAAAAAATCAAGGGATACATTTTACAACTTCATCACGCAAATAAAATTTCCATTTCCATATGCCTATATATATTTTGATATTAATGAAATATATTCAAATGGAAGGTTTTTAGCCAATATATACTCTTCTAGGAAGCAGAGTGGCCCATTTTTGCTGTCTTGTATTCTAATAGCTCTGATTATGGGTTTCTAAATGTCATATTATGGATATGTAACAAGCCACAAGGCAAATATGCACATTTGCAAATGAGAATGCACTGATCATGTACTTTAAGATAATGTAAAGATTATTTAGTGAAAGATAAGCATTTTGTGGTAATTTAATGTACTCATTACAGAAATATCTATAATATTTTACCTTTCCTCATGTACCCAGTAGTTGAGTTGATTTCTTCATTTCTGAACTGTTTGAGGTTTTCCATGGTGAAACATGGGCTGGAACTAATATGATTTTGTGTTTTGTTTATTTAAATCAGACTGTGGATAGGATTTTCATATCCTGTCTTTTGAAACACAGTTGAGCTCTACTAATGAGGTAATAGGAAACAAGGAATTGTATATTTGAAGCTAATTCAGTATTTTTCTGTCTAAAAGGCAGCTCAGTATTCTAATTTGGATTTAGTTACTATTCATTCTGCATGCCAACCTTGATATCTGAAATGAGAAGATATGAGGACTACAAAATATTTGAATAAAACCATTGTTATTCCCTGTCTAATTTGACTTGGCATATCCTTTTCCCTTCCTTTCTTTCAAAAATTAAAAAAAATGACCAAAGGCTATTGTAGACCTACAATGTGTTAAGCATTGTAAGTTAATCCTAGAACTGAAATTTTTAGAGGGAAAATATTATTTGACAATGTACTGAAATCAGAACTGGTCAATATATGTAATTATATATTTTGAATCAAATAAATAAATGACATAAGTTAATATATCTAAAACACTTAGAACAGCCATTGTTACAATAACAACACTTATAATACTAATAAGTGTTATTATTAGTATTTACATCCCAAATTATATGGTAAACTATGGGTAAAGAACATTATTTTATGTTGCAGTGTATACACAGTACCTAAAACACAGCACATCTTCAAACATTTTTTGTAGTACTAGGGATTGAACCTAGGGTTTTATGCATACTGGACAAGTTATCTACCACTGAGGTACATCCCCAGTCCCCCAAGCAGTTTTTGAATAAAAGAATGAATGAATGTGAGAGGATCCATAGCTGTATGCATGAATGATCATAAAGAAACTGCCCATGCATTAGCACTTCTTTAGTTCCCCAGTGCTTGAGAATATTAGGTATATAATCCTGGGCAATGAGTTAACCTCTCTAACAACTGCTTTCAACATTTGTATAATTTAGAGATTTATTCTTACTTCATTAATTTACAGAAGAATTGAATTAAATAATCCACATCAAGTATTTAATACTATACCTGGTATATAAGAAGTGTTCAGTTAATGGTAGCTATTTTTATAACTAGTTAATGAACTTGTTATGATAATTTGACTAATCATGACTTGTTAACTTTTTGTTACAAAAAGAGTAATATAAATGAGAAAAATGGGGCAAAGATTTAAGGGCAACTGATGGAAATCATAACAAAGAAAAACAAAAGATTTTGAAGAATTATTCGGAAACAGAAGCAAAGGGGAAGAAAGGTCCTTCTAAAATTGGTAAATTAAATTCAGAAATCATGGTAATTATAAAAAGAAAAAGGTTGATTGGAAATTAGATGAACAAATGAGTTATAGAATATGTGAATAATGAAACAACAGTGATTTGAACTCTATTGTCTCAATGATGGTATAATAAAGGATATCATGATGGCATGATAAAGTTATGTGATGAACCTTTCATTAATATGAGAGATGATGAAAAGCCATCATGCCTCTATTTTCACGGTAAATTAAAAATCTCAGGGCTGGAGGCATGACTCAACTGGTAGAGTGCAAGGTTCTGAGTTCAAACCCCAGTACTACAAAAAAAGTCTCAAATGACACATAAGCATGGTTAAAAAGGAGCCCCAATAACCACACAAACATATACATTAATTGAAGATTAGAGGGGATCAGTCTTAAACAATTGGGGAAAACATTTTTTAAGGAACAGACTCAATAAAGTTGGTATTAATATATAACATTCTTGGGAGACAGCTATGGATGGTTCTTCATTAAAGATTTGATTGTAAGTTTTTCATAAGTATCCAAGATGAAATCTATATAGTTTTCACATATTTATTTTAAAACAGACATAATAATCTTTTTCTACAGCACTTTCTACATTTGAAATTTAGCTGTTCAAAGTCGGTACTCACATTTTCTGTTGGAGGCTGTCATACTACCTATAGGAATTTCAGCTGCCTGTGAATCTTCTGGGCCTCTCTATTTTAAATCGAAAAATAACTGATGAAAAGTAAGTAACAGTTGCATTTGTTTGAAACATGAAGCATCTGAAGAGTAAGGTTGATTTTTTTAAAAACACTGTAATATTTTAAATGTATATTAGAACTGCAACATTTCATAGACATCAAATAATAAAGAAAGCATTTCATAGACATCAAATAATAAAGAAAGAATGTCAGCAGAGCATACTTTTTTGCATTATCTGCTTTTAGATGAAAATAGCACTCTTATGTAGACCGGTATCTTCCACAGAGAGTTAGTTGAAGGCCACTGAGACAGTCTGTAATTCACACTCTTAAATTATGTAAGCCTTTATGAGACACAAAAGCTGTAGAAAAAATGATCCCTGACCTAATTTGGTACATCTCCTGCAGAGTGGATTGAGGATCTAGGATTCGTCTTTTGATCTTAAGCAGATGGTACAAGCTGGATAGAGAGCAAATCCATTCAAACCTAACACTTCATTTCATTCACTAGCATAACATTCTTTTTATTGCTTTGCCAGCCAGCAAAAGAATCTTGCTGATTTACAAAGTAGATCAAAAGATTTACAAAAGAAAAATATAATATATCATTTAAAAATTCCACCCTTTCATGTGTCATAGAAGTGACTTAGAAATTGCCTTCTGTTATATAAGTTAATATTACATGAGTATATTTCAGAGATTGACTTGTATTTCAGTTCCTGAAAACACACTTTCCCCCTCTCTGCCTCAGATTTTCAGTCTATTTTATTAAAAGAATACTTTTTATCTATCAAACATGTCTTTTTAAAAGCATAGTCAGATAATTCTATAACCCAAAGTTGTAAAGTTTTGACACAAATTTAAAGTGAGGCATAAGCATCTTTTTATATGTAAAGAAATATATTTAGTAAGTAAATTTAAAGTTCAGATGTTAAAAATAATAACAGCTATTATAAAGATAGGGTATGTTTGGAGAAGGAAAGCTAAAACTAAGGTGAGCCCTGTAGAATGCAAAGTTTTAAAGTATCAAGCTTGCCTGAAATTGGGTAGATTTAGAAACAAACCAAAAAAAAAAATCCCAATGTGATTATTTTATACCAAAAGCTTGATTATAACTAAAATGCTCTATAGTCCTATTAAAAGACTAGAGCTCACTCAAATATTTATTCTAGACACTTTGAAGAAACCCTATATATTATCATACTATGTAAAGGTATTTAGAAGAAAACATTCAAGGGCTCCTTGCTGACTGGAAGAATTATGAGTTTTCCTTTTCAACCTACACTTGCCTGAAAACATGGGGAACCCTAAAAGTCTTATGATTTCACTTTAGGTTGAACTTACAGCTTAAATACAAAAGGAATGTTGAATGTATTGGTGAGCTGGAGTATTCAGATAGTTCAAACCTTACCAAGTTTGTTTTGAAGACTTGCTTATATGCACGTTCAGGCTCTGGGTCATTCTTCAAACAGAAGGAATAAAGCCAATGTGACATTGATTTTAAAACTAATTCTAGCCTGAAGTTATTTTCTTTCAAGTCACATTTTAAAGTATCTATGCAATAAATATAACAAAACTATAAAAATCATTTTAAAGGAATATTTTTATGTTCATATCTCTGAGTTAGCTTTAGATATATTAGATATGCCATCTATGGCCAGACTTCTCTTGCTATCTCTATTCAGTTAGGAATCTATCCTTGAACTGTAAACCCTACACCAAAGTCACAGTCATAGGAGGCAAGTTTATAATGATATATGACTTTCATACTTGTTCTGTCCCTATACTATTCCTTTAAGAATTATAAAGGGGATATTGTTTTGAACCTGATGGAGTTGTATTTTAAGAATTAATATAGATTTGTTTGTGTAAAATTCAGTATATTCAAAGATACTTATGAGGAAACATCTTATTAGGCAGAATTAGTTTTCTCCTGCCTTATGAAATGAACACTATAGACACACTAATACCTTGCTTGACATTTATTTGGACCAACATAGATGATCACACAGAATGGAAAACCTAAAGGTCAACTGGCTTATGAAAACTTGTAAATAAAATGATGAAAATTGATTATTATGTCAATCTGATCCATACATGTTTCAGAGTGGTGCAAATAGCAATGACTTAAATCTGTGGAAAGTGCTTTTTGCTCTTTGAAATAGTTTTCAAGTGCTTGGCAAAATTCTCCAGTGTTTTTCATGATCAAGTATAGCAAGTCAGGAGTGGATTCTATTCTTTCCATTGTACTTATTTTCATCTGTTCATTGAGGAATAAAGGAAAGAAGGCAATCAAGTCAGTAGAATGCTACAGATTAGTAACCTACCAACTGAATAGTTGAAGAATATTTGCCTTTGCCGGACTGGTCACCTAGTTCAAGGTTGGGTGCAAGATGGTGGGAATGTTCCACCTGTCCATTAATCAATGATGGGCTCTGCTGGATGAGGACAGTTGAAAATTAGTGTGGAAGCCAGAAAAACACAGATGCAGACTTTGTCAATTCCATGCTTTTACTGAACATTTTATTTATCCACCATTGTGTCAAGTGGCACAAAAAGAGTACCTGGAAACTCTCATCATCATGAATATTTGCTAAAACATCTTATCTTAGAGAAGCATCATACAGGCTTAGAATGCGTAAGGAATGCAACTTCCAGCAAGGCATGTACCACTACACCTGTAATCCTAGTTCTCAGGAAACTGAGACAGGAGGATCACATGTTTGTAGCCAGCCTGGGTTATATAGTGAGATACTGTCTCATACATACATACATACACATACACACACACACATACACATGCAAATGCAACTTCAACAATGTCTAGTTATGGTTTAAAAAGACCCGAATGGTAGTAGTTATTACATTGTCTTTTTTATTCATTAAAATTTACATTTATACAAAATTTAATCTTTGAATTCTTTCTGATGGAGGTGCCAAAACTGTATCCTACCCTGGAACATGTATTCATCAATTAAAGCACTACAAACATTTATGCCTTTTATTTTGTGTGATAATGTGAATCTTGAAATGGTGTTCTTAAAACTCATTTTAAGTTCCCTGACAAGCTCAGGGGCAATCTGAAGAAACCACATTTTTACATGTTTAGAATTTCTTTCACTCATTTTCAAACTGGTTAAATTTGTAGCTACCACTTATTAGGATAATATGCTGGTATTATTACATCGTTTTCCAGTCCAAGAATGATGATTTACTGGGGATAAAGGGAACACGCTATTGTTTTTTCATACTTCTTGAGATCAGACCTTGTTTTGCGGAGACTAATTTCCTAAGCTTTTACAGGTAAGAGTTGTGATTGAAGCCGAAATTCCTAATTGTCAAATTACTACAGCATCTTCACTTGAGCCTCAATCCCCATCCACCAAAAAGAAACCCTTTCGCTAAAATTTTTTTGCAAGATTTGAAATCTATTTGAAACCTTGATTTCTACTTGATAATGAAAAGTTTCAAATATATAGGGAAGCCAAAAGAATTGTAATGTGATTTTCAGATACCAACCTCCTCGATCTTGTTATTAACATTTTTCTAAATATATTTATCTCATGTCTATCCAGCTATCCTCCTTTCATCCATAAAGCCATTTTATTTTTTCAGTGCACAAAACAGAATTGTCTATACATTTAGAAATGGTAAGTGGTGAAATTTTAAAAGATGCTAATGTGTTAGCCTGGACACAGGCATTAAGAGAACAGGTGAAGTGCCAGGGAGTGAGCAGAAAATCATACAGGGCTACAGAACCCCAGGACTTTGTAAGGAAAATTTGCTTAATTTGCTTTATTTTAATTTCTTGGAGTCTATCACAACCATTTTCCCTTTTAACCATCCCACCAAGCTGGTAATCTACTTTTCTTTAAAAAAACACTGCATTTTATGTTTTGTCATATGCAGAGCAATTTATCAAAAATAAGCACAACAAAAAAAAATCACTCAAGCTATAAAAAGATTTGCGATTAATCACATCCCTGAGCTTTTTGTTTCTATAATTTTAAATGCCCTTAAGACAGATGGCAGCAAGTGATCTTGTTAACTTTTAAGGTTTTCATTTGCTTGTTTGCTTTTGACTAGAAAAGACATTCAAAACATGGATAGTACCCAGGATTTTGGGACCATTCATCCTCCAAACCTAAAATATTCTCCTCTTTTGAACCATCCATGAAGGTTAAATAGAATATTGCAATAAGTAAATTAACTGTCCAAGAACAGATGTTTAAAAAAATTAAGGCCAAGTGTGCTAGTATATGCCTGTGATCTCAGCTAAGAGGTAGAGGTAGGAGGACTGCAGTCTGAGGCTGGCCCAGGCAAAAGCAAAAAACCTTATCTGAAAAACAGAGAACGTGAGAGTCAGACTGATTAATAGATATATTCTCAAAATTAAAGCTCCATTCCTTCTATTTACTACTTCATGAAACTTTTGAACAAGTACTTTTGAAATAAAGATGAATGTTATAAAATCTTGAAGCAAAAGAGAAGTGAAAGTTAAAATATACCTTGGCTTTTGATGATACAAGAAGAATAAAACATTTTTCTATCAAGAAAAATCCATGGATGCCTCCAATTAATCCCAACATTTTCCAAATATAACTTTTGCTTTCATGGAAATGTCCAAACTCTTGGGCTTCCTGCTTATGTAAATCAAGAACCTTAAAAAAGAAAAGAAAAGGATTTAAAGGAAAGAAAGAACTTTTGATGACTGAAAAATCAAATAGCAGTTGGGTACATTCAGCTGTCAGTCTGGGGAGTCCCTTGATGACTCCAGTTTGCCTTTGGGTATGTGGATATCATCACTATATCATTTAATCAGGGTCAAATAGAATGTGTACAACAAATAAATGAGGGCTCTCAATAGCTTGTGTGAATGAATTGTGACATCTAACCTTTATTTCAGCAAGTGCCCTAGATTTTCATATGTTTTCAGTCTTTTGGCTGATTTTTTTCAGGTGTACTATCTATATCCATTTTCACAGCAATGATTCATAAGATATAAATATATTTTATAGCCAGAACACATATAGGGATATATTTCATTTGGGTTTTTTTTCTTTGTTTTACTTCAAGCTCCATTACAATTGAAGTAAACTTGAACTACTCTACAGATAAATAAGAAATCCACCTGGAAGAATTCTACTGCATGTGTGCTGCATTGTCAGTAATATTTTCAACTTTCTGGAACAAAAAGTATATGAATGCACTGACTGAGGATTTTCCTTCCCACTTGGACTCAATCCATTGACCAGGACTTCTTATTAGTGAATCATTATTATTCCTTCAGCAAACGAAGACAATTTGTAAAATTAAAAAATAGTTTCCAGACTTAGGATGTTCCTGACTACTAAATTAAAGAAAAAGAATTTATTTGTGTATAGATTTACATATGTGTGTTTCCATATATATGTGTGTAGGTATTTACGTCTGTGTACATACAACACCCCCCTCCATATCCATGGATTTGACATCCACAGATCCAACGAACTGTAGATTGAAAATATTCAGAAAAAAATTGCATCAATAATGAAACAGTACATTTTTCTTGTCATTATTCCCTAAACAGTACAGTATAATATTTTTACAGAGCATTTACACTGTATTAGTTATTACAGATATTCTAGAGATGATTTAAGGTATACAGGAGTCCATGAATGGGGCATATGCAAATTCTACAACATTTCATATAAGAAACTTGAGCATCTGTGAATTTTGATATCTTCAGTCCTTTGCAGATACCAAAGGACAGCTTGCATACATGTTTGCACATGTGTGGTATATGGCTATATCTGTAACTAAAATCCAATATGTGTTAGTCAATTTTTTCTAAGTGAAGACTTAGACTTGCAGTCTTCACTGTTTCATGTAATAGAGAGCATTGTAATATAAAATAAAACAGAAGAGGACCCCGCAATCTCAGGATAAAATGTAGATTTTTTTAAGTTGAGTAAATTTAGTCAATTACAAAAGAAAATCATAGCAGGGGGATTTTTTCTCATTTCCACATAAATCTTTGAAAACTGGGCTCATATTCAGGGACCTCTAATGGATTTTCCTAACTTTCCTCCTATGTACCACATCTTTCTTCCTCGGTCCTATAACTCCGTCCTCCTCTCTTTTCTCAAGCAAAAATCCTGCTGTCACAATTTCATGAAACCCAGCTAACCTTTCCAGGTGTGACATTTCCTATCCACACCACATCCATGCTCGCCCCTGGCAGTGTGCTCCTACTTAGAGAGAGACCCAGGCAGCCTCAGATCCTTCTGCCATTCCCCATGATCCTGAGCAGGAAACAGCTCAGCCACCACTGTGGTGACCTAGAAAAAGGCCTCAGCCACCAGGTCAAGTCAATACAGAGCCCTGAAATATTTCCAGAAAATTAAATCAATTATCAGTGAAATTTAAAACTAGTAATGACTCGTTTTATTTCTCCAATGTTCACGTTGCAATTTTTCTGAACATCAAATAATTATTGAGCCTGTAAGCAACAACGGTGACCCTGGAGGAAATTTGCCAGAGGCTTATGGAAAATTTTAACATCTTGGGCTTTGCAAGTGGCAGATCATTGGTCCATTGTCACCATCCATATTAAGAGATCTGAAAAAGGAATTAAGAGATCTGAAAAAGGCTTCTGTAGAGCCTTCTGTCTGAACATTTTTGTCATCAAGGTTCTAGTCCTTTCATTTCTGAGAAGTAAAAAGCTTCCTAAGTCTTCAACAAAGGGCCAGCTTCCTGGTGATTACATTTTTCTTAAGAGAAAATCAAATATCATTAGTGAGGCAAGAAAGAGAAATCCACTCTGAGGGTTCAAATGAAGAAATGTCAATGATGGTACTATGACAGAGGTGTAGGCAGGGTCAAGGGTATGAACAGGAGATAATGAGGCACCCAGAGACTAGCCACTCAGGAGACCATCACCACCCTTAGGGCTGAAAGGTCAGAGGCAGGTATAATAGGCACTTAGAATCTGCTTTTGCTAAACAAACAAACAAACAAACAAACAATCCCACTAACTCTTTACCTGGACTCATAAATTAACTAAAAGCAGGATTAAAAATTTGGCATTCCTGCCTCCGTTTTGCATCTGTCTCCTTTGTACTGAATATCTCTCTTATAATCACATGGGATACTGGGAATGACAGTATTGCTCTATAAAATTTTTATGGCAAAGGACTAAAACTACTCTCAAAGAACAGCAGAGCCTCGCAGGACAAATCAACCCCCATAAGAAGAAATTACCTATAATGATGAGGCTACACTACATGCTGAAACGGGAATAATCAACTCATAGGAGCCAGACTGCTCCCCTCAAGGAATAATAGTGATAATTTCTCTAGGGCTCCTCACAGAACCAGAACTGAGACAATGATTCAACCAGGCCAGTTGAATCATTGTCTCACCCCCTGCCCCAGTTCTTCCTCAATTTAAACATAAAGCTCATGTTTGTACACTAAGGATGGGTTGAATGATTTCTGCCCTTGTGACTGGCACATTAAGAAAGTCCCTATCTCTGACTTTCATCTTTTTTAATTGGCTTATCTGAGTGACCCTACCTGACATGTTACAACCCCTGGAGTTGGGCTCTGCCTTAGACTCAAGAAATGAGGTCACTGAGGCTTGGTGAGAGGTGGGACCAACTAAGACAGCTCCAGCTATAGTTTGAGAGCAAATCAGCTACTTTTAGAGCACATGCCACATCCAGGAGGTAGCTGGGAAGAAATGCCCCTGCCTCCTCCCCTGCATTTTCCCTCGTGCTTCTCAGTGGCTAAGACCAAACAAAAACTTAGTCTACAAGAGACCTGAGCTGAGGAGATGTGATAGTCTGGGGAAGAAAAGAGATCAAAGTGGAGAATGAATCTGATGTGGAGGAAAGAGGGGAAGCAACTGGAGAAAAACCAGCATAATGTCTCACAGCCCATTCTTTCTATTTTTACATGCAATTGGGATTTGCTTCCCAGGTCTTTCATAACTGGAATTGTGATCTGATCACAGTTTCCTTTTATTAATTTCAAAAACAAGAATAACCTGTCATGAACTTAATGTTTTGTCCTTTGTTCTTTCCTACAAGTGCAGAGAAGCTTGGAACAAATAGCATTTCTTTCTGAGGAAAACACTGACCACTGTATTTATTCATAGAAGTCACTGCAAAACTGTGTACAAATACTACTTTCATCCAAAATGGAAACATTACCTGAGGGATAAGGTGTAGTAGAGCATCCCCAGAGAGTGTCCCAACAGCCAAGCCCACAAATAGCTGTAAAATAAGACTGTAGTTCTCTTCACAACTGTGGAAAAGGACCAGCGCTGTCCCGAGCATGGAGCCCAGTGTAAGAAGGGTCACGGCCATGGTGCTGTAGCCATACTCTAAGTCAAAGGAGATTACAAAAACAGTCAGTGCTCATCGCTGTCCATTTTTGCCTCAGTTCATGATAATGCCAGAAAAAGTCTGTCTTACACTAGCAGTTGAAAGGAATACAGTATTAGGAGTTTTAAATGGAGTGAAAATTATAATTTTTAAGGACAATAATGAGCAGAGTTGCTCTAGTCTGAGTGTTTGTGTTCTCCCCCAAAGTGATGGGTGATATTAGGACATAGGGCTTTTGGGAGGTAATTAGGTCATGAGGGCTCTGCCCCTAAGAATGGGATTCATGCCCTTATAAAGAACTGAAGAGACCAGAGTTTTTCCATCAGGTGAAAACACAGTAAGAAGGTATGAATTTTTGAACCAGGAAGTGGACCCTTTACCAAACACCAAATCTATTGGCCCTTCATGTTGAAATTCTCAGATTCCAGAACTGCTATGAGAAATACATTTCTGTTGTGCGCATAGCATTCTTTCATAGCAATGATAAAGGCAAGACTTTTACTTCACCCTGTTGCTTTGAAGTTACCCTGACTACCCTTTACTAAAAATCACTGGCAAACAGAAAGCTAGCATACTTCCCATTCCCAGTAAAACTAATATCTCTCACATGAAACTCCAACACCTGCCAACAGACATTGGTAATGAGTCCTCCATTTTAAACCCTTCAAAGTCAACGAAGTAGTATTGAAAAGGGAACCTTATGTACAGAATGAGTATACACTTTGGAAGAACTTCCTTCTAAAAGGGCTGAAACTTATTTGCAAGATCAAAAAGTAATGATCATTCTCAATGACTAATGATGATTTATTGGTGAGAAGTGACCAATGATGAAAATCATTGATAATATAAATTGGAACAGTCTACAGTTTGGCTTACTACAATAATTTTATAACCCCTGAAATTTATTTCACATTTCTAGGGTTTTTTTAATATTCAGAAAAGTAAGATTTTTAAGATTACTCAAACAAAAACGTATATGAAAGGAAGAAAAGGCAGAGTGTGTTAAATGAGAAAAAGGAAATGTCTTTCAGATACCAATACAAAACAAATGGTATGGGGTGCAGATAAGGAGTACGCCACCCACTATTATCATTTGGTTGCAGATATTCAAATACTTTGTTTTCCACCTATTTAGAAATTACTAACTAGTCGTGGCAAACTAACATGTAAAAAAATGAGAGAATGCAAATAGAAATTAAATCATAATTTTATTTAGTGACTACAGACAATAAGGTAAAATCAAACAAAATCAGTGATTCAGTTTTTAAGAAAATATCCTCCTAAAAGTTTCTTATAATAAAAAAAAGTACCTTTCTCATATACTTATATTTTTCTGGAAAGTTCAACCTTCACAAGAAATCATACTGTGAATACAATTGGTAACAGTGATAGGCTTATGATTTTAAGAGGAACTTTGCTGACTCTATGTTCTAAATTATACAGAGGTCAAATATTAGAGTTGGTAGTTTCCTATGATAAAACAAGAAATTTTCAAAGTTCAATTCTCCCAACACTATTGCCACCCCTTCACTGCTAAGGAACCTCTACAAAATGGTATAAGGGGAAATGGAGAGCTGTTCTTCAATGGGTATAGTTTTAGTTTTGTAAGGTGCAAATGTCCTAGAAAGCTATTGCCTAACAACATAAATTTACTTAATACAAGTGAACTACACAAATAAAAATGGCTAAGGAGGCTAGAGGTATAGCTCAGGGATAGAGCATATGCTTAGAATTCACAAGGCCCTCGTTTCAATCTGCAGCTGCAAAAGTTAAGATGTCAAATTTTAATGATATGGGTATTTTGTATTAATACCTTTATAAGTTAAAAACTTTAAAAATAGTTGAAATGGCCAGACACCTACACAGAGGCTTGAATTCATTCTAATTTAGTAAGAACACCATGTGATAAAAACATTTCTAAAGACTTTCAACCAAGTTTCATATCTCACTCCTTCCCAATTAGATTCTATATAGGACTGTTATTTTCTTCATCTAACACAAAGTTATTTGCATTTTAATACATTGGCACCTGGATGGCTAAGAAATTCACAGCTGTCATATTTCTTTATCACAGCTATGAAGGACCATAAAATGCCATGAACTGACAAGGACAAATTAGGGTATGACATTTCCCAGGTAAAAGGTAAAAAGTTTCACATTCTAATCTTCTATTCTTCTCCTTGGAGTCTTGTGAGCAGCTACTGTGTGATCCTGGGGGGAAATGAGCATTTCATAACTATAGAGCTTATTAAATCATTTACATCCTTTGTGAGTCAGATTTCACTTGTTCTCATGAGGGAAGGACAGTCTGAAAATAGTAAAATCTCTGACTTCTGTGTCAAAGGACTTTATGTAGGTGCTGTGGTGTTTTGATTTGGGTTGGATGACTCGCAGACAGATTCTGTCTAAGCACTTCCCATCATTACGATAGAACTTGACCTAGTCATTAAATTCTTAGCCATTCCTGAGCTAATCATCTTTTAGGTGGCCATTTTGGGGGGCAGATCTTAAGTGTACCATGTTTTAAGTCCACTGCACACATTTTTGTACTTGTGGTCCCATTTGAATGTTATAGATTCCATAAGGAACCAATGAAAGAGGTACTGCAGTGACGCAGTGGGACACAGGTGAGTATAAGTATTGATCCCTCATTTCCTGCCAGCCATGCATGAGGAAGTTGGCATTTCCCCAGACTGGGTACCTCCATACCAGAGCAGCTCAATGTGCTTTGGTGCACCTCAATGTGTCTTCGTTTTTATATATTCCATGATGTATGAAAGGCTGGGAGATACAGTACAATATCACTGTTTTCCCACTGTGCAAGAAAAAAAAAAAGACAGGCTCAGGAAGGTAGAAATTACTTCAAATTACAGGGTGGCTAGCATGAAAGACATGACTCAGCACTGCATCTCAGATGCCAATATTGATGGATTTTCACTTATAGCATGCCACTTTTCAACTATAATTTTTTAAGTTGGTTCATGATTAAGTCAAATATAGGGGGACAAAATTAATGTACATAAATTGTACATGAAATAAAAAATAGTCATTGAAAAGTAGTATAGGACAATAGTTAGAAACAAAGACCCTCGGACCAGCTTGCCTGGCTTGGATTCCAACTTCATTGCTTAACAACGGCATGACCTTAAATTAGTCACTTAACCTCACTTGTACCCTTCTCATGGTTAAATGAGTTGGTAAATGTAAAACACTTAGAACAGCTCCTGGTATATATCCTGTGCTCACCATTATTACTACATACATTGTGCAATCAGCTTTCTGATAAGGAATCAAAACTTACTCTCCAGAGTGGTAGGCAAAGGCTTTGCTTGCTGGTCTTCAGGCTGCTGGCAAGAGCAGCTAAGTAGCTGCTGGATGATCCCTGGACTCATCTGCTTAAAGTCTTCCTTGGAAATGGGTGAATGGTTCTTCTGTAGAAATATCTCCAGCAGCTGCCTAGCAGAGAAGCAAGTCTGATGGAGAATATGTATTGTTACCAACCTCAGCACTGAACAAAATGTACCACCAATTACCATGCTTCAGGAGCCAAAACCAGATGAAGTGGCCACAATGGGCACATGAAGCCATTGTCACCTGTTTCCCTGCCACCTTTGGTTAATCTTTTGTTAATTTTCAAGTTTTATTTTAAATCTCAGATCAAAGTCTACATTACCTCACTTTCACTGCAAGTATTAATGTTTCTTATGCACTGTTTTCTTTCCTAAAAAGATATACATTTTATAATGTGTTTGTTGGTGTTCTTCTAACCAGCAACCTAAGGAAGCCTTGATGCTTTTGTTGTTTTTCAATAGGCAAACTTTTATATCCACAAACTAAGACTTCTTATGATAAACTGAAGCTGTGTGGTCTTTGATATACTTCTTATTTAAAGCCTATGTTTGCAATGAGTATATTTAAAAGTAATAAAAACAAGGTTAAAATTTGTTAAATGAATATTATGTCAACTAGCTGGTATGCAACCCTATGAACTCTGTTAACATCCCTTCTCCACAAAAACAGTAGAAATCACTGTTATTTTCTACTGACTTTACCTATTTTACCTAACTTTTTAATATTTTTCTATATTAAAGAAGCAGATTTATAAGAGATAAGACATAAATAACAAAGGCAACATGCCTCTAAAAATTGCCATAAGACATCTGTCCATCTCAGAAGTACAAGTTGACATTTGGGGCATTAGATTACAACTTTAAAGTTTTAATACATGAACGAGAATGGAATATAGTCTCACTTGCACAAATTATTTCTATTGAACTAAAACTCCAAATGCAATGTCTTTGCCATCTTTCATTGCAATCAATATGGTATTTTTAGAAAAATCAGTGACTTACAAGGCCAGTCTGATTTGCTATGCTGTGGAATATAAGGACTTCTTTTTTAATGAAGAGATGTTAATCAGAAAATGATGGCACATTTGTTATTTTTTCCCCATAACAAAATTTTAGGTGATGATTCCATGAGTAAGAAAGTTTTATGTAAACCAGGAAATTTTTGGTTGTGTGGAATAGAAACCACTCAAAACAGAAAACCAAGAGGACACTACTGTGGCAAGTCACAAAGGATATAAATACTAAATTAAATTAAAAAACAAGATACAGATACTAAATTAAAAAACAAAACAAAACAAACCACAGTTCATAAGGAGTGATAACCTGAAACTGATAAAATCAGAACCAAAGATGCATCCACATGTGTGCATTTGCACATCAAGTATTTTCTCCCCCCATCCCCCACACACCATGTCTACTTCCTTTTACAGTTAGGCCCTTTTGTTTACTAGGCATATGGGGCCACAGAAATCTCCACCCTAACGTGACCTTCCTTTTATGTGTATGTGTGTTTAGCATGTAGTCCCTTTCTTTTATAACAGTATTTCAATTTCTTTTTTTAAATTTTATTTTATTGTTTTTACATTTACTTACATGTGTATACATTATTTGAGCTACCTCCCCTATGCCCAGTCTCTGGGCAGAACCTGATCCGCCCTCTTTTTCTCTGATTTTGTTGAGGAAAAACATATAGGATAAAAAGAAAAACATAGCGTTTTCCTAGTTTGAGATGAAGATAGCTACACAAGTAGATTCTGTGTGTTTCTTCCATGCATATGTGTATTACAACCCAAATTGGATCATCTTTACCAGACCTCTTCACTACTTCTAATCCTCTTCCCATAGTGGGCTCTGTCAGTTTAAGATTACTGTATTCGCTCCTATATAATGAGCACATCAAACACTTTCAAGTTTTAGGTTTCCTTTCCTTTCACTATCCCTCCCATCCATGGTCTCCCCTTAGTGTGTGACCTGTGTCCAATAATATTACTGCATTTATTTTAGGTCTACAATCTGCATATGAAGGAGAGCATGTGATTTTTGGCCTCTGAACCTGACTAACTTCACTTAAGATTATATTCTTCAGTTCCATCCATTTTCCTGCAAATGACAAAATTTCATTCTTCTTTGTGGCTGAATAAAACTCCATTGTGTATAGATGCCACAGTTTCTTAATCCATTTGTCGATAGTGGGGATCATGACTATTTCCATAGCTTGGATTGTGAATAGTGCTGTAATAAACATGGGTGTGCAAGGTGCTCTGTAGTAACCTGAGTCACATTCCTTCGGGCATATCCCTAGGAGTGGCATTTCTGAATCCTACAGCAGATCTATTTTTCATTTTTTAAGAAGCCTCCATATGGTTTCTCATAGTGGTTGTAGCAGCTTATATTCCCACCAGCAGTATAAGAGGATTCCTTTTCCCTAGATCCTCACCACCATTTGTTGGTGGTGTTCTTGATGGTAGCTATTCTAACAGGAGTGAGGTGGAATCTTACTGTTGTTTTGATTTGCATTTTCTTTATGGCCAGAGATGGTAAGCACTTTTTCATGTGCTTTTTTTTTTTTCTTTTGCCATTTGGACTTCTTCCTTTGAAACAATTCTGTTTAGTTCAGTTGCCCACTTCTTTATTGGTTCATGGATTTTAGGGGAGTTTAGGTTTTTCAGTTCCCTGGATATTCAGATTATCAGTCTTTGTCTGATATATAGCCAGCAAATATTTTCTCCCACTCTGTGGGTGGTCTCTTCAGTTTAAAAAGCATTTGTTTTGTTGTGCAGAAGCTTTTTAATATCATGTAGTCCCATTTGTCCAACCTTTTTCTTAGTTGCTGAGCTGCTGGAGTTCTACTCAGGAATTCTTTGCCTGTACCTATTGCTTCCAGAGTATTCCCTGCTCTTTCCTGTACTAACTTAGAGTTTGGGGTCTGATATTAAGGTACTTAATCCACTTTGAGTTGATACTAGTACAGCATGACAGGCATGGATCTAGTTTCAGTTTTCTGCAGGCAGATAACCACTTTTCCCAGCAACATTTGTTGAAGAGGCTGTCTTTTCTTCATATGTTTTTGGCAACTTTGTCAAAAATAAGGTGGGCATAGTTGCGTGGATACATATCCAGGTCCTCTATTCTGTTTCACTGGTCTTCATATTTGTTTTTGTGCCAGTATCCCCTTATCTCATTCCTGACTTTAAGGGAAATGGTTTCAGTTTTTCCCCATTAAGTATGATGTTGGCTATAGGTTTGTCATATACAGCCTTTATAATGTTGAGGTGCACTACTTCTATTCCTAGTTTTTGTAGAGCTTTTATCATGAAATAGTGCTGAATCTTATTGAAAGCTTTTCTGTGTTTATTGAAATGATCACGTGGTTTATGTCTTTGCTTCTATTAATGTGCTGTAGTACATTTAATGATTTGCATATGTTGAACCATCCCTACATCCCTGGGATGAAGCCTAATTGGTCGTGGTGAATGATCTTTTTGACGTGTTGTTGGATTTGGTTTGCCATTATTTTATTGAGGATTTCTGAATCAGTGTTCATTAAGGAGATTGGCCTACAGTTCTCCTTTTTGGATGTGTCCTTGTCCGGTGTTGGGATGCATGTAATGTTGACTTCATAGAATGAGTCAGGCAGTGTTCCTTCCCTTTCTATTTTGTGGAAAAATTTAAGGAGTGTTGGTATTAGTTCTTCTTTAAAAGTCTGGTAGAATTCAGGTCCTTAACTTTTCTTTTTTGGGAGACTATTACTGCTGTTATAGATCCATTTAGGTAGTTAGTATATTCTTGTTTCAGTTTTGGATGGTCATAAGTATCTTGAAATTTGTCCACTTCTTCAAAATTTTCCAATTTATTGGAATATAGGTTCTCAATGTAGTTCTTAATGACTCCCTAGATTTCCTTGGTGTTTGTTATTTACCATTTTTCATTTCTGATTTTACTAATTTGGGTCTTATCCTGCCTCATTTTAGTCAGATGTGCCAGGGGCTTGTCAATTTTATTTTTTCAAAGAGCCAACTTTTTGTTTTGTTGATTCTTTGTATGGTTTTTTGGCCTCTGTTTCATTAATTTTGGCCCTTATTTTTATTATTTCTTTCCTTCTGCTTGTTTTGGGCTTAGCTTGTTCTTGTTTTTGTAAGAGTTTGAGATGTAGCATTAGGTCACTTATTTGAGGTTCTTTTAAACTTTTAATATATGCACTCATGGCTATAAACTTTCCTCTTAGGACAGCTTTTGCTGTGTCCCATAGGTTCTGATAGGTTGTGTTTTCATTTTCATTAAATTCCAGAAACTTTCTGAATTTCTCTCTTATTTCTTCTCTGACCCACTGATCATTGAGCACTGTGTTGTTCAGCCTCCAATTGTTTGCATATTTTCTGCTGCTGCTTTTGTTGTTGAGTTCTAGTTTTATTGCACTGTTATCAGAATGCAGGGGGTTATTTCAATTTTATTATATTTGTTGAGGCTTTCTTTGTTTTCTAAGATTTGATTTATTTTGGAGAAAGTTCCATGAGGTGCTGAAAAGAATGTATATTGTGCTGTTGCAGGGTGAAATATTCTGTAGACATCAGTTAGGTCATTTGATCTATGGGGTCATTTAGGTTTAGGATTTCTTTGTTGATTTTTTTGTCTGAATGACCTATCTATTGGTGATAGAGGGGTATTCAAAGTCTCCCACTACCACTGTGTTGGTGTCTATATGTGCTTTTAAGTCCTTTAGTGTATGTTTGATGAAGTTGGGTATGCTAACATTGGGTGCATATAGGTTGATAATTATTTCCTTTTTATGTATTACCCCTTTTATTAGTATGAAGTGACCTTCTTTTTTTCATTTGACTAATGTAAGTTTGAAGTCTACTTTGTCTAATATAAGTATTGCTTGTCTTGCTTGTTTTGGGGGCCAAAACAAGAAGATTGGTAAATCTTCTTCCAGTCTTTCACCCTAAGTCAGTGTTTATTTCTGTCAATAAGGTGGGTTTCTTGTAAATGACAGATTGCTGGATTTTCCTTTTTAATCCAGTTTGCCAAACAGTGTCTTTTGATGGAGGAGTTGAATCCATTGACATTCAGTGTTAATATTGAAAGGTATGTGGTGATTCCTGCCATTTAGTTGTTTTTGTTGTTTAAGGATTTGAGTGTGTGCAACCAAATCCATGCTACTCTCTGATTACTTGTCTTTTCTTTTCCTGCAGTTTAATACTTCCCATCCTCTTGTGGTTTTGTTTGCTTTCATCTTCTGTGTGCAGAATTCCTTGTAGAATCTTCTGTAGTGGTGACTTGGTAGTCATATATTGTTTTACTTTCTGTTTGTTGTGGAAGACTTTTATTGCTCCATCAATTTTGAATGATAGTTTTGCTAAGTAGAGTATCCTAGGGCTGAAATTATTTTCATTCTATGCCTGAAATACCTCACTCTGTGCCCTTCTTGCTTTTAAGTTTCCTTTTGCGAAATGTGTTATTTTGATGTTCTTACTTTTATATATTATTTGCTTGTTCTCTCTTATACCCTTCAATATTCTTTCTCTGTTCTCTGTGCTTGTTGTTTTAATAATAATATGCCTTAGGGAGGTTCTATTTTGGTCAAGTCTGCTTGGTGTACTGGAGGCTTCCTGTACCTGAATGGGCAAATCTTTCTTGAGGTTTGGGAAATTTTCTGTTATTCCTTCCCTTCTTATTCTCCTTATCACTCCAATTGGTGCTGTGCAACTATGTTCTTGAATTTTTTTTTCTTTGCAACTGACTTAGTTGTTAGCTAAATTGATGTGCTATTGCTGTCCCTGGCCTGGAGGTGCAAATTAGCAACTTCAATTTCAGATTCACAGATTCAATGTCAGACCAGTTGTTTACCTATTATATGTAAAAACCCCTTGGTGTTGGCAGAGTGGGTAATGGTTTTGCTAGAGATAGAAAACTTGGGTAATTGGTAAAGGTGGCATTAAAAGGGGGGTAGAAAGGAGGGGGTGGGGGTGGGGGAAGAGGTTTGGAGGCTGTTGGGTTTTGTGGCCCTTGTGTGTGTTTGGGTGTATTTCCACTGTTATAGAGGAGGGTGCTTGTGTCAGGGATTGCAGGAGGCTGGGGATGTGTATGGTTAGTACAGTAGACTAGTCAGTGGGTGGTGAGTATGTAGGAGGGAGGGGTAGTGGGGTGACAGGTTGAGGAAGGATAGGAGGGGGAGGGAAAGACAGGGGAGAAAGTGGATAAGAAGGGCAGAAAGTAGTTGGGAGGGAGAACAATGGATTGGAGCACAAGAAAAGAGAGGGGGAATAGGGATAAGAAAATAGTGATGGTAAAAGTTAATAATATAGGAAAAAACAGGTATAGCAACAACAAAAAGTTTAGTCTGCTTGGTAAAAGTCCTGGACTTATTTCTTTGGCATCCAATCCCAGTGTTGGTACTGGGTATTCAGGCTTTGTGGGAAAGGTGCTGCCCTCTTGTTGGACAGCTTGGGGTAGAGATAGCTGGAGGGTTTTTTTCTTTCTCCCCCCTGCTTTTCTTGGTTTATGGACCATCCATTGCAAGCAGGAGCTCTGAAGTGGTCTCACCAGGTGATTGGCTTGTGAGCAATATTTGGTTCCTTCTGTCCACAGAGGTAACTCATTGCCAGTCTGTGCAAGTTGGTCAAATCTGTTGTTTTCACCAGGTGGCAACTGCATTGCCCTACAGCTGTTGGGTCTGCAGGTTTATGTAGGCAGCTTTGAAACCAGCCAGCGGGGAGAAATAGTGTGCTTCTTTTCTCAAGGCAGACAATTCCTGGGTCTGGGTTCAGTGTGGTGGGACATATGGAGGCTTTCCATGGATTAGGGGTGCCGGATGTGGCAGATTTCAACTCTAGTTGATTCTCTACCTTCTGTTTATTGAAAGGGGGAAAAAAAAGAAAAGGGAGAAATGGCCAGGGTGTTTTGTTTTTGTTTTTTCCTCAGAACTGTCATGCCCCAGATTGTCCCAGCTGTTAGGTACAATTAAAGGCTATTTAAAGGGTCAGTCCTTGAATTTTAGGTGGATCTAATATGTTTGTAGTTATTATTTTGGCTAGAAGCTATCAGAATTACCCAAGTGTAGCTCTCACATCTTGAAGTGGTTTCTGGAGTCACAGAGCTCAGGAATTCTGATTCCCTACCCTAACACCATCTTGGATCTCTCTCTCTAAAATGACCTTTCAATTAAGAACACAAGACTGAGTTGAGTCTAAAAATCATGAACGAGATCTGATTGGTTTGGTAAGACCATCACTGGGCTTTTTGTTTGGATCAATTCTGCCCACATGGTAGGAGTGAGGAAGGCATCAGAAAGGGATTTGGAAAGAACTCCAAAAGGTTTCTACTCTGAAAAGTGTCAGTGGAAGCTTAACCTTGTGGCATTTTTCTGTTTATTAAAATAATGTCAACCAAAGACAATAATCTCTGTTGCCCCATTTGTTACTGATAAAATATAATTACTTCATTAAAAGTACTGACAAAAGAGAAAGGGAAAATAGAAATAAATGTATGATAATGAAGCTTTAATAATAAATGTCTCTGTTGGAAAATTCCTGACTGGTAAGTAATAGAGTAAGTAATAAACAAGAACAGAATACCATGCATCTTTCCCCAGTCCCTTGTCAAGAAATCTAATAGTTTCTAGTTTTAGAATACCTTCTCAAAGGGGAAGGTTATTCTATTATAAGCTTTTGTGCCCTTGATCTTTACTTGCTGCTTCAGTGCTATGTAAGCCATTGTTCTAAATTTCTTCTGAATTCACTAAAACAAATTTCTGAATGGTGATTCATTATGTTTTATAAAATTGTGAACACAAAATATTTTTTAATAAAGAACAGAATGAAAATTTAGATGATCTGCCCAATGATCTTTAAAACATCTTTGTTCTGATCTGTCCAGTGATCTTTAAAACATCCTTATTCCTTTACATAAAACTTCAGTATATTCTACTTCTATTGATATTATTAGACTTCTGTGGAAGCTTTCAAATGTATTCTGAAGTAGTACTTCCTAATCTTTAGTTTTGAGAATCACTTGGAGGACTTGTTAAAAGATAGAATACTGAACTCTAGTCAGGATTTCTGATTCAATAGATTCTATGGTGGGACAGAAAATTTGCATTCCTAATAAGTCTCCAGGTGATGCTTATGCTTCTTAGAGAATCATGGGTCTCATAACTCAGGCAGGGCTACATCTCTGGTGTCCCATGTTGGGATCCCAACAAGAGTCAAAAAGACAGTGACACATTGGGGCAGAGAAGAATAATTATAGATTATATAATTGACTACTAATTGTAGTCAGCCTAGACAATGATTATTAAGGTTCTGAGAAGATGTATACCTTAAGTAATCACTAAAGTTTAAGAAATAACCCTTGCCCTTTATGCAAATAGGGTTTCCATTAGGCAAATACAACACCTTCCTGAGAGCTGGCCATGAAGAAGACTTCTTCAGGTCAACTTTGTCACAGTGGAACATAATAAGTATGACTTTGAAAGAACCAACTCTAATACATTCATTTTATACCTGGCAGAGGTAGCAGAAATTGACTTTTTAAATTTTCTAATAGCAAAAATTATGTGCTGCTGCCCAGTCATGCATTCATAACTTATAGAGACAACATTCAGTATTGTCAGGAATATATGAGGATTTTTTTCTTGTTTTAAGAGAGATTGTGTTCATTGGAGTGTTGCTCATTTAAGATACAAATAGCAAAAAAAAGTTTATTTAAATCAACATTTCCCAAACAATGCCATAATTAAGAACAGAATATGCTTCAAACAACCTATGAATGTATCCTCAGTTTCTGCGAATTTAATCACTCATTAGCACAATGCCTCATCGGTAGCATGCAGTGGTACCAGTTAACCTCACAGTTGTTTAAATAATGAATGTGGTAAAGCAGGTTAAACATTACAGTGCCCAACACATAATAAGTGTCCCATAAATATAAGCCATTACCATGGAACATTAATTTCTGAAGATTTTAAATGATTAGGGCAGGGAAGGATTCTATGGTCAAAGTTTGAGAAATTCTGAGTTCAATAAGATTAAATAAATTTGTTTCCTAACAGACTCCTATAACTCCTTAATGTGCTAACTGAAGTGTGCATCTCCAGTATTTCCCCAGATTATTTGACCATACTACCTATTCTCAAAAAGCACTGAGGAAATTTCAAAAAAGTTTTATTGGGACACACAAACACACACACATAATCACTGAATTAGACTTTGAACCATTAGGAAACAGAGATATAAATATGCTCATAGGCTCACATTTTACCTTTTCCCAAAGATCTTCTCAGTGCCATCTACCATACAAATATATTTTTGTTGCTCAGACCTCAAAGCAATCTCTTCTTAATTTAATCTAAATTTGAAGTGTTCATTCATCATTGTGATTATTTATGTAGTGACTAAGTCCTTCACTGCCTTGTAAGCTCTCTAAGAGCCATGCCTATTTTTCCCCAACACTGTATTCCTCATGCCCAGTAGGGATGGGCACACAGTAAATATTCAACATAAGTATTCTGAATTACTCATGCATTTAATGTTAACTCATGGGAGAAAAGAGCAAAATATATATAACATATATAAAAATCATATATAATGATACTAAATATCTATCTATAATTCTCTTGAATATATATATATATGTAATTCTCCTAAATATCTTGTTCTTGTTTTTAGGTCTACAGGGATCTGCTTGTAGAAACAGAAGGCCAGGAACCTGCATAGAAATAGGATATTTTTACTTTTGGAAAAATACATATTTTCTTAAGTTTTCTAGGACTTTGATAAAACTTTTATAGCCAGGCTTCTGTGATGATATTAAATGACAGCCCAAGAGTAATAGTGAAAATACCTGATCCCAGGAAATTAGGCCATCCTCTGACTCTTTGTCCACAGATACAGATGGATTAGGGTAGTCCCAATCATGGATTGTTATGTTGCCTTGTTTCCTTTGCAGTTGATAGATTTTTTCCTTTTTGATACAGGCGCTTTTGGTCCAGAGAGTATTGAGGAGTTGGTCTAGTTCTAGAAATTTCATATAAAATCTGGTGTCACATAGATTAAGTAGGTCACATTCAGAATAATCACAATTTTATATGGCTATAGCACAGATAATGTACAAGATAAATTTGGTTCTAATGAAAAGCCAAGATTTCATCCTGAACAATGCTAGACAGCATTTATACTTGACATGGATTTTGTTTCCCTCACAAGATCTTGGCTAAACTTTGGGGCTAAGCTAGTCTTTTAAAGGAATCCCCACCATTTTTACATCCCAGAGATGATAAAATGGGCAACTCAACCAATGGAAATGTGTTCCATTGAGTCAAGCATTTTATTCTCTATAAAACTTTATATTAAAGAAGAAACTAGCCTGATCTTCAGGAAATTTATTCCTAAAGTCACACTACATTCTTAGTAGACTATCACTTTAATATAGTTAAGTCAATCAAATTTTTCCCTCTTAGGTATATATGCAAAAAAAGAGACAATAAATGAAAATGAGCTGAGTTTATAGAAACAAATTAGATCTTTTTTTCTTAATACAATTCTCTCCTGTAAGTTTATAGACCACAGTTTGTTTTCCATATAGGATTCAAAAAATGATACAGAGGAGAACTAAATATAATAGGTTTACCTGTCTCCTTATCTGTAAATAAAATGGTGTTGGAATTTTCCTAAACATTATCAGAGGTAGAAAATATTACAAACCAGTTTTATTTTGAATGACCAGTTTTCAACCTTGCAGTAAATTGAGAAAATATGATCAATAGTCAGAGAAAATAGAAGTCAACAAATACATCTCTGAGTATTTCCAGATGTTGGATTTACCAAAGTCCCCAAAGCAGCTAGTATAAGTATGTCTGGGGAACAGCAGGAAATTGTCTTTAAAGAATTAAAGCAAAGTATGATAACAGTAAGTCAACTAATAGCAATTTTGAATAAGAAAAACAAAATTATGTAAAAGTCCCAATGGATGTCCTGGAGTTGGAGAATATAACTGAAACAAAAAATTCATTAGAGGCATTCAGCAACATCTTTGAGAGAGTAAAGGCAAAAATCACTGGACATAGAGATAAATGAACAGAAATAACGTATCCTGATATCCTTAGGTGATGGGGATTGTGATTTGACAGAAAAGGAGGGCAGGAAGGCAAAGGTGGGTCTTGAAAGAGCTTTAGAGGTTAAGGTCTGAGCAGGGGAAATTTCCAGACTATTATCATGGATAAATAGACATAAAAATTAGGGGAAATAGGCAACAACAAACTTGAAATATCCAAGGAGGAACATCATTTACTGAGAATAAACTATTGTTCCTCTATTCTCTGGTAGCCCCAAACTCCCCACCCACACACACGCACAAAAAGACAGAAAGACAAAATAACCAGAAGAACTCTCAGAGACCTTTGGAACAAGAAGCATACCAACATATATGTATTAGCAGTCTCAGAAAGAGAAGAGAAAGAAAAATCAGGAAAAAATGGTGAAAACAATAGCTAAGAGCATTATCTGTATTGGTAATGAAATTCTTTTTATAAAATCCACATCTGGCCATCTTGATGCAGGCTTGAAAAATAAGTTGTGTAACTTTCAAGTCATTTTTCTTATCAAGTGCAAAGAATTATGCAAAAAAGTTCAGATTTCCTTCCTGACATCTCATCTCAGAGACACTGAATGTAGCAAAGAAATATTGTTCACATTACCTTTATTTGCTATTAAATGTGCTACATTTGTGGTTATAAGCAAATTGCTAACCCCCCTCTTGATCCACTTGGATTACAATTTCATCATTTTACATGTCTCTCTGCCACCTCTGGTCCAACATTATGTACCAATAAGGAAAGAGTTCAGTTAGTTCTCATGGCAGATCATAAAATCTCTGTGCCTGACTCTACATTCATGATTTCCAACATGACAGAAGTGGGCCAAGTCCAACTTTATGCATAATCACCACAAAGGTGTGCCCTGAAGGATGATCTAAGCTTTTTTACTACATGCTGAGATAATGTAGTATATATAAAAAAACAATAACTGAAGCGAGGCATGGTGGCTCATGCCTGTAATCTCAGCACTCAGGAGACTGAGGCAGAAGGATCACAAGTCTGACACCAGCCTGGGATACATAGTGAATTCAGAGCCAGCCTGCACTACATACCAAGACTCTGTAGGTAAGTAGACTCTAGGTAGGTAGGAAGGAAAGAAGGAAGGAAGGAAGGAAGGGAGAAAAATTAAAATCTGCTGAATTCAGTGATGCAGTGGCTCACACATGTAATCCTAGCTACTAGGGAAGCAGAGATAAAGAGGATCAGTTTGAGGCCAGTGGGGTAAAAAGTTGGCAAGACCCCATCTCAATAAATAAAAAGCTAGGTGTGGTGGTATGCACCTGTCATTCCAGTTATCTAAGAAGAAGAAATAAGATCGCAGTCCAAACTGGTCTGGGCATAAATGTGAGACCCTATTCAGAAAATAATGAAAGCAAAAAGGTCTAGCTGTGCAGCTCAAGTAGTAGAGTGCCTACCTAGGAAGCAAAAGGTCCGACTTCAATCACCCATTCTGCCAGAAGAAAGAGGGAGGGAGAGAGGGAGGGACGGAGGGAGGGAGGGAGAGAGAAACCATGAAGAAATTCAGTCATCAAATTGCTCCAGTCTTTGTTTTTGGCACATTTTATTGGGTAGATGTGGCTTGGAAGTGAAGTTTATGAAAAGCATCCTTACCTGATAGGTGGAGGGTATTTGTACTGTTCAAAAATCTGAAAACATATTCCGTAAAATAGTCTGGGGAAGGCAAGTCTCTTCGTCCCAGACAAACCCCTTGGAGGGACAGAGTGATGATGGCGGCGGCCAGCTGAGGAAGTGTATTTTCATCAGCACCATCACTGCTCAGGATTCCAGACTTCTTCTGTAGCATTTTTGTTTCCATACACTGAAATCAGATATAAAATAAAGAGAAAATTGTAGCTTCTGAAGTTATTTTGAACTAGACATCTCTAGAATTTCTCCAAAGGACCAGAAATAATTCATCAAACAATTGTCATTCTCCTCTGTCACATGCAACCAAATTTGGAAAATACTTGTTTCTTTTATGTGCCATGACACTGAATTTTCTAGCCCTTGTTCCACTGGTTTTCAGTTATCCGTTACCCTCATTAAAATGTGCTTTTTCCAATGATGTCCAGCCTCTTACTGTTTGCATTTGTTCAATTGGTGGATTCTCTCCTACCTTCAAAGACACCTATTAGCTAATGATTTTCAAATCTGCATTCTTGTCCTGACTTCACGTCATCTCTTTGGCATCATATCTTCACAGGGCAACTCCACTTCCGTGCCTGCCTTTGGTCCAAGTTCAATGCATGCTCACTATAAATCGCAGCTAGGGTAGTCCCTAGATTCTTTGAAATTCTTTAAGACATAGGACATGGGGCCCTTTTCTTAGGTTTCAATTTTCTACAACTAACTTATGAGTTTCTGAGAGGCTAGAATTTTGCCTTATATCTCATTAGTATACTCATTTGTTTATTTAAACATTTATCAAATTCCTGCTATATGCCTTGTCCTTTGCTAAGCCCACAACAACTGCAAGGAAGGAGAGAACTTGTTCACTTGAAGAGGACTCAAGGAGAAATCATTGTGTCAATATTCAATTCTTGCAACATAGGACAAGTAATAAAAGTGCTCATTAGATTTATTCTTTTTTAAGTCTAATTGGTAAGTGTGGCAGGAATCTACTCAGAGCTGCAGTAGGAAGCAGAGTGGAAGTTAGACATCCTTTTTTTCAGTGCCAAGGATGGAATCCAGGGCCTCATGCATGCTGGGCAAACATTTTACCACTGAGAGGCACCCCTAGCCATTTTAACAAAATTTTGATAGATCTGGAGAAGTATCAAGAAGTTACATGAGTGAAAAACCAGGTTAAAATCACAGTTAAACTTCAGAGCAGCATGAGGTTTTATGTGGAAATTGTGAAAAAGTGATAGTCACAGGTTCTATAGAGAAAAGGAGAATTCCAGCCACCATTTTCATGCATGAAGTCCTTAGGGCATGGTTAAGAACACCCATCTTCCATGCAAGAAGTAGGGCTAATGCAGAGTCATGGATAGGATCCCTGTTCCTGTACCATGGAACTAGCAAACAGCAGAGAGAACTGGAGAGGAAGGTACTCTAAGGGATTGAGTCAGGAAAATGAAATGCAGAGTTGTCTGGACACATGAAAATGTAATAATGGACTGATAATGATTCTGGGTCCTCAGGGAGGTTGACTGGGTACAATGGTATAAAACAACTTCTCTTTGGAGTGGTTGAGGCCCATAGGGAATTGTCTGTTAGTGTCCTGAGCTGTAGAAGCTGAGTCCTGTGTAGATCCGGACCTAGGGATGCTAGTGGTAGGCCTGGCAGGGGTAGGGACAGGTCCTGCCCTGACCTCAGTAAACAGAACAGCAGCCTACAGAGAAGTGTCCACAACCTTCTATAAAGTCTGAATTGACTGGTTTCCTAGGGAATGCTGGGTGGGCAGTCGCTGGGACCTTCCCGAGGAGCCAGAGATGGTGGTATCTTGGGGATCATTGGTTGAAGGCCTAGCAAAGGCCTGTGACTGTGGGAGTGCAATTCTTGTTGACTAAATAGATGAATAAAATAGTTCTCTACATAGCATTATTTTTTTCCCCTCTAAGAGTGCTTGATCTCACAAACAATGAAGCCTGCACATTGGCAGTAGGGTAATCAGAAACCTGACATATATACACAATCTGCTTTTAAATGCTGGTTTCCCATGTCCATTTAATTTGCATCAAAAGGGAGTAATGGGTAAGATGACTAAAATTCTAGTGGCTAATTTGAACCAATGATGTTATGGAGATATTGCACTGAAGACATTCCATGTAAGCACAACTCTTTATTTAAACACAAAATGGGTCTGTCAAGGAAGTTTTTCCTATAATGAAAATAAGAACAAAAATATGGCCAAGGTTTTATAGTCACAATGTCCTCAGTAAGCAGTCTTTCATTTGTTCTGTCAACAACGAGAGAGATTATACCTGGTTATTAAGCCAGAGCATGAATGTTTCTAGAAGCCAGAACTGAGACCAAGGACCAAATTTGTTTATACATATCAATGGGTAATTCAAAAGAAAAAAAAAACAAAAACAGTTTTCACTGTATTTGTTTCACAAATTTCACACCTTTTCAAAATGTGCTGGAGCTGCCCAGTTAATTCTTCTAGAAAATATGGCTTGAATAAATTTGATGGGGTTGAGGGTGTACCTCAGTAGTCAAGTGCTTGCTTAGCATGTGCAAGGCCCTGGGCTCATCCCATTAAAGAATGATGGTGATGATGACGATGATAACAATAAAACTTTATATTCAGAGAACTTTATGTGCTGCAACTTCTCACTGCAACGCAGAAAATAAAAGCACGACTGAAAGGCCAGGTTTTTCAGGATAGGAATGAAGGCAACACAAAAAGGAGGGGCCCATTTCCCAACAGTAGGAGCTGGGAGAGCCGAGAAGCCTGTGAAGGGATGTCATGCATATGCAGCACAAATCAAAAGTCACAAAGGGGACATTGTTGTGGGCTGACTGTCAGGAACAATGCTCTTTGTAAGTTGTTTCTTCGGTGAAATAACTTATGACAAATTCATCTGTCAAACTGTTTTTCTTCTTCCCTGGCCAGAGGCAAGGGAAATAGACATATTGCCCCTCACCATGACAGTTCAGTCCTTGGAGATTAATCAAAAACTTTGAGTCACATTTTTTGAGTGTTTACAAGATCTTATGAGAAGAGGTCTGTCCTATTACCTGGCCTGCCTGCCTGCCCACCTGCCCACCCACCCAGCTTCTGGCTAAAACTCATTTTCCAATTAGTCATTCTATTTCTTCTTCTGGACTCAGAATTTTAATTTTTTTTTTTTTTTTTTTTTTAGAAATGGCTCGTTCTTTTATTTTCTTAATAGAGGATTTAAAATTTCTTAATTTTTTTTTCATTTTTCTTTTATTATTCATATGTGCATACAAGGCTTGGTTCATTTCTCCCCCCTGCCCCCAGCCCCTCAGAATTTTAAATTATGTCACTTGCCATTCCATAGCTTAAAGCCAGTTCCTACAAGTTCTTTCATGTCTTAGAAGGAAATAAATAACAAAAATAAGTTTCCAAGACTGTATCTAGTTCAGTGGCAGTTAGCAATTTAGCCCTTCTTACCTGGCTCCTGGAAGTGCCAAAGTACTGTCTGGTTAAAGCCAAGATGTCTTCTGTCTCATTCAATGAAAGGAAATAGGAGTTTTCATCCTGCCTGAGGCGCAGTAAGCTGTGTAGGTAGAATTTGTAGTCTTTATTACTCATGTTGAGCTTTGAGGAACAGATCTCTTCCTGATGAGTAATGTAATAGAGAAGAAGAAGAGAAACTTTCTGGACGACTTCCTCTCCAAACTGATCTTCAAAATTTCCTCCAGCTATTAGTAACATGGCATCTGGTTCAAAACACTGGGGTGGGGGAGAAAAAGAAGCAAAGTTTAACAAGTAGCTCCAGAAACCTAACAATCACAGGCTCCCCACTGCTTGTATTTTATGAATAGAAAAGAAAAGTAGTCAGACTCAATAGCTAGATTTGGATAAGAAAGTGAGGTATCATGGTTGAGCTTTTATGTAGTGAAGGTGCCCACCTAAGGAGCCCTCTTTCAAGAATGGTCCCTCTGTCCTCCATTATGCTTGCTCCCAAATTGTTGATTAACTCTTTTGCATAGGATCAGCCAATTCTTTGTTTTTTAAAAATAACGCTCCATTACATATAGAAAGAAATTTGAACTTTCTGCAATTTTCTTCTTGGTCTGATTCCTGTCTTATACCTTATCTTATTCTCTACCTCATCTTAGCTTTTCCCTACCATTTCACTAAACTCTACCTCTGTGTCTTTTTTTCCTCCAGTCCCACCAAGTTCTTTCCCATAGTCTTTCAGGTCACCTTGTTCCCTCATTTCTCAGGTTTTAATGTATGACCCCCTTAGGGAAGCCCTCCTACAGTCCTGCAATCTGTGTTCTCCAGCATGACTCTGTTCAATACAAATATCATGCCTTTGAAATTTTCAAGAAGTCACATTTTCAAAAGTAAAAAACAGGTGAAATTAATTGTAATGACATTTCACAGAAATTTACATATTCAAGATTCAATCATTTCTGCATGAAATCAAAAATTATTAATGAGATATTCTACGTTCTTTTTGTTGGACTCTTTCAAAGCTGGTGTATATTTTATACTTATCAGCTGCATATGAAGGGCTCAAAAGCCACAGGTGTCTATAGCTACTGTGCTGGACAGAACAACTCTAGAAGAGATCACAAGTGTGTTTTCTTCATGGCACTATTACAAAATTACTTTGTGTGTTTATTTTCTCTCTCTCCTATGAGAAAAAGTGTTCCATAAATGCCAGGTTTCATCTGTTTTATATAGTTCTACTCTTAAACTATAGCACAATAACTGGCACTTAAGAGGTATAAAAATTCAATGAATGAGTGCCCTCTGCCACTCTTCTATTTTACCTAAGACAATTGCTAAAAAAGAGTTTCCAATGAAGGGAATCAGAACATACCTCCCCAAAATGTACCACTAGGACATATTGACTATTTTGAGCTAAAGACAATTGAAAAAAGAATAAATACAAAAGGGTTCTCTGATTTTTCTCTTTCTATCTAAAAGCTTAGCATAAATTTTCAGTAAGAAAGGTGTCCTATATCAAGAAGAAGAGAACATTTTTATCACAGGGAATGGATGCAAAGATTAATCTATACAAACTTTACTCAAATAAGCTATATCCATTAGTAGTCCTCATTTATTTTGTAGACATTTTCCCATATTTTACCAACCTTAGCTCAAACCACTCTTTCCTTACTCTTGTTACATCTCCACAACGTATTGCTCTTTGTTAAAATGATATACAATCTCCCATATTTAGCCATTTATTTGGGGCTCTTACTTCCTTCTTTGAGGCTTCCTGAGCCACATAAAAATATTAACATCAAGCAAAATGTGTATGCTAGCCCTATTCACAATAGCCAAGTTATAGAAACAGCCAAGATGCCCCACTACTGACGAATGGATCAAGAAAATGTGGTATCTATACACAATGGAATTTTATGCAGACATGAAGAAGAATGAAATGTTATCATTCGCTGGTAAATGGATGGAACTGGAGAACATCATTCTGAGTGAGGTTAGCCTGGCCCAAAAGACCAAAAATCGTATGTTCTCCCTCATATGTGGACATTAGATCAAGGGCAAACACAACAAGGGGATTGGACTTTGAGCACATGAGAAAAGCGAGAGCACACAAAGGAGTGAGGATAGGTAAGACACTAAAAAATTAGCTAGCATTTGTTGCCCTCAATGCAGAGAAACTAAAGCAGATACCTTAAAAGCAACTGAGGCCAATAGGAAAAGGGGACCAGGAATTAGAGAAAAAGTTAGATCAAGAAGAATTAACCTAGAAGGTAACACACATGCACAGGAAATTAATGTGAGTCAACTCCCTGTATAGCTATCCTTATCTCAACTAGCAAAAACCCTTGTTCCTTCCTATTATTGCTTATACTCTCTCTTCAACAAAATTAGAAATAAGGGCAATAGTTTTTGCCGGGTATTGAGGGGGTGGGGGAGAGGGGGAGGGTCAGAGTGGGTGGTAAGGGAGGGGGTGGGGGCAGGGGGGAGAAATGACCCAAGACTTGTATGCACATATGAATAATAAAACAATAAAAAGAAAAGAAAAGAAAAAAAATGTGTACGCTATTTCTCCTGTTAATCTGTCTTTTGTCAGTCCAATTCACACCCCCAGTCACAGAACCTCAAAGGGTAGAGAAAAGTCTTTTCTCCCCTCTGCCATGGTACCTTGTTTCACAAACCACAGGCAGATGGGGCTCCCCTCATCTGACAAGTTCACTTGGCATGAGGGGTTTGGGTTAACTTGTGGGACAGTGAGGGACAGAGGGGCACAGGAATTGTAAGCTGGAAGCTCCTTCAGCAAGACAGAAGCTACTTTTCTTCAGAGACAGCTGTGGAGCTAAGAATTCTCACAGTGCCTTAGCTTCATTACCCAGGAACAACCACGTCAGAGTAGAGTGTTGAGAAATGCTGGACCTGCATCTGAGAGGGATTGGTCCCACTGTGGGGATAATTTACTACAATATCTCCTAATCTGTTCTTGAAGGTCGAAAGTTTTGGGGATTCTAATTCCATGTCTGCTGTGCAGCCACCTGGGTCACATCTGGTATACACCATTCATCTCCAAAACAAAACATGATGGCTTTCTTCCCAAAGCCACACAGACTCCAGTCCCTCCTCAATTCAACCTCAGAGGATGGAGAACTCAGCAAATAGAGATTGACTCAGAGTTTGCATCAAGACCAGCTTCTGATGTGGATATTAAGCTTCATTCTGAGCCACAGCAGCCTTTTGTGTTCCATAAGCAGTGCACAAGAAAACCTCATGCATTAATAGCTGTTTGCTGGGCTGACACAAAGACACAAAGAGGTGACTCAGTTGAACATTAACAAAGCCATTCTAGGTACCAAATAACGGAAACCACACTACTTGGCAGTGTTAGCTACCATTTATTGGCAGCCCTATGCCCTGCACTGTGCTAAGTACCTTACATATTCAAGTATTTCTCAGAGTATAATTTAATTGGTGTTAGAAAAATCTTTTGCATAATGATTTCTTAATAGTGGAAACCTTATTCCATTATATTAAATGGAAAATAAAATATTCTCAGCCTCTATAATAATCCACCAAATATCTTCCCATAATATAAAACATTGAGAATCCAAATATGAAATGACTTGATGTTTAATGAATTAATGGGTACATGTATGTGCCATATGCCAGGAGACAGACCAGAATCAAACAAGAATTACAATTTCTTTCTATGAAAAAGGTGTACCCATAATATATGTGAAAAACCAAGTTCAAGAGAGGGTAAGTAATACGCCTAAAGTTACATAGCTATCAGTGGTTATTTTCCTGTCAGTATTAATTCCTACTCTACCAATGATAGATCTTATTTTCTTTTTCTGTTTTATTCCCCTGGTGCTGGTGTTTGAACTTAGGGCCTTGCACTTGCTGGGCAAACACTCTACCACTTGAGCCATATCTCCAGCCCTTTTTGCTTTAGCTATTTTTCAGATGGAGTCTAGAATTTTTGCCAGGGGCCAGCTTTGGTATGCAATCCTCCGGCCTATGTCTTCTGCATCACAGGGATTACAGACATGTGCCACCACTACCTGGTTTATTTGTTGAGATGCATCTCACTAACTTTTTGCATGATCTCTATCTTCTGAGTATCTGAGAATATAGGCATGAGCCACTGCACCCACCCTTTGCCCTTTCTTTTGTACCATGGAGAGCATAAGCTATATATACACTAGGTACTTGATAAGCAGCCCCTTCAACCAATCATTTTCTGTCCTTCCTATTTGGCAGGAAGAGAGATCAATTAGAATGCAGGTAGACTGGTAAGATTCTAATATCAATCAGAATGAGAACGTTATACAAACAGGAGATTGAATGAGTATATCGACATGACATTGCTTGATGGAGCTGGGTCAGTTGGAAGAACTCAGAGTAGGACAATCATGAGGTCACCTGACCACACATAAGTAGCCAGGGCGTGGTCAGTGGGCACAAAGCAGTGTATGTGGCCAAACTTCATGCCATCTGTGGAGCCTCAGACTGCCATCCATTCATGGTTCCTCCCTTTCCAGCATTGGAATATGGGGTGTGTGGCATGGGACAGCAGAGAATTTACACTGCAGTCATACAAATAGGTATTCTAGAATCAGGTTGTACAAAGCCTATAATGTAGAAGATAAAATTAATTTCTGACTTTCAAAAGTTTAAACCAGCTATGGAAGCATTTTATTTCATGTGACTAGAGATTTTGGTAATCTTGAATGAACAGGTATCATTAACCCCTTACTTTAATTTTTTGAGGCATGATGACATAAAAATAACTGAATCAAATGACCATAGGCTGAAAACTTTGTTACCATTATGAATTTGAATCTTAGAGAAGTTACTCTAATACAGAAGGCGGTAGCTAGAGGAAAGAAAGCATCAGAAGAACTAAATGAGAAAATATGAATTCCTTCTCCCTGAACACAGATAGAACAGGAAGCACTGTGGGGGATGGTGGTGAGGAAAGAGAGGCAGGAATTTTTATTTCAGTCACCAGATTTGTTCGTGTTGGTAAAGTTCTTAGTAGCTGTGTCAGTTGTGTTTGGGAAAGGATGTTTGGTAAAATTTTGCAAATCCTGCTACCCTATAGGCCTCAAGATCTATCCAAGGCTGCTGACTGTGGTGAAGTGATTCTTTGTTAAAGAAGAAAGAACTCTTTCAGGAATAATCCATTGATTTCCCTTTAAATCTTGTCAGGTGGAAGCATAAAGTTTAAAGGAGGGGAAAAACACAGATTCAGGGAATTAGTTTTTCATAAGGAAATAAGCTTTGGGAAAAGATTAAACATTGAGCAGAAGCCCTCCTTACAAGCTAAATACATTACTCAGATACTTGGGTAACTGTCCCTCACTCTGCCATGTCACAGCCTCTTCCAGGTCCTGACTCAGCCGCACTTACAGATTATGCCAGGTCAGACTCTTGGTGAGAAAAAGCAGGGTGAGAATTTTCTTCCTCTACATCAGTAGGATGACAGTCAGATCTTTAGGACCAATTAGAGGTGTTAGTCTCAAAGATGTTTAAAATTTGATTTTGACTCCGTGTAAATCCACTATCTTCTTTTAAATTCTTAGACTTTTATATGGTCTTTTTTTGGTGGGGAAGTCTTTTTTAATAGATTATAATTGACTATAAAATACAAAAGGATATTGTACTTCTTCCTTTTTCTGCCAAATAAAGAGCTGGGAAGATATTGGCCAATGAAGGGGATTCATGACTGCTAGGCAGGTGCTCAACCACTTGGTGCCCCTAGCCCCAGGCACTGGCTCTTAATGGGTCTCTACTAGATGTTATTGCTTTTCTCACTAATGAAAAGAGAAGTCTTAACTGAGAAGAGTTAAGATAAACTTGTTAGTTGTAAAAACATAAGATACTGCTTGATGCTTTTTTATATTTTATCACATAAAAATTATGAAAAATGAGTTGGAGGCATTGGTGGGCTTTGGTGGGAGAGGTTTCTGAAGATGTCAGAAATGAGGATGCCCCTGAAAAAAGGAAGAATCAGAATCTCCATGACCCGTGAGGGACAGAGAATAGAAGAGAACACAAGGAACCTTAGCTCCTATGGCCAACCTCACCCAGATATGTCGATGAGATCCCCACAAAGATCCCCTGAGAAAACACTTCTACCTAGCTTATTCCCGTGGATGAGGAAGCCAAGGTTCAGTGTGTCCCAACGGCTAGAAGATGCCACAACAGGGTCCTTTGCCATTCAGGAACATGTGTATGTATGGTCATTGTTCTCACCATAACTGAAGAAGGGTCTAGTCTTTGGGAATTTTCTAATCCCTCATTGAATCCATTAAAACCCCATTCTAATGCTTCTCATTAAAAAAACAAAGAAGAAAAATAGAAAAGAGAGAAAAGGCCAGGATCAGGCAAGAACTATCTATTTTCAAAGGTTTCCATTTGAATGGATTTAGATATACATACACACATATGTGTGTGCGTGTGTGTGCGTGTGTGTGTGTGTGTGTGTGTGTGTGTGTGTGTGTGTGTGTATTTTTTTTGCCGGGCTGGGGTTTGAACTCAGGACCTTGTGCTTGCCAGGCAGGCACTCTATGGCTTGAGCCACTCCACCAGCTCCTGAATGGATTTATTTTTAAATATCTAATCTTCCTACTTTTTTTTAAATTCCATTTTAACCTAGCCTGAAATTGGGAACATTTTTTTTCCTTCTCCTAAGTTCGAGATCCCCGCCTCCCTTTTTTTTTCCAGACATTTATAGATATAAACTCACTCCCTTGCTCTTTTTACCATGGACTTTGTAACATGAGCCCCACTTGTCAGCAAAGTTTCTAAAATGACAAAAGAGACTTAACAAGTTGAAACCCTGTGATTTAGGCCAGAACCCAGTGTTTGTAGAATCGTAAGGACTCTGTTTCTGCTGGCTTTTCATGAATGACAGGGAGACATTTCTGGAACCATGGCTGATTGGGGGATGGAGGTGAATGGAAGCCTTTTGAGCAGGGGAAGCTGAGATTCAGCTTTGTCACTCCCTCACGTCCTTCCTCAGAGAAAGAACAAGCAGCAGCAAGAGGATGAAGCTATTATACTGAGTGTTCCAAAGCCTGGAAATGGAAATAACTCAAATGGAAGCCAAGTTGGCTAAACTCTTGATAATGTCACAGAAAACAATAAGAGCAAAACAATCCCTTCCTCCCCAGCCCCACAAATGGGGAACAATTTTGCCTGTTTACATTCCCCCTAGCCAAACTAATATTCCACCAGCCTTAATAAGGCACTTCATGTCATTAAAGGAGAACATTGCCCTGCAGCAAATTCTCAGAGGACATTAATAAGATATGACTCCTGGTTATTTCCAGTGGGATGTCTTCTCTTGCTATCTATATATATTAATGTCATCACAGATGAGCTCCTATTATAACACATTTCCTCTGGGGACCACTGGGCATTTTAATAATTATTGAATTATTTATTTTTCACAAAGAGCAGAGAAAAATTCTGTCTATGAACAAGACCCCTTCTGTGTCATGATGAAAAAACAAAAGCACTTGGCCAGGAAATGTTCCCCTCTCTCTATCCCTAGAGCCATGCATGATTGAGAAAGTCGGCCAACATTGATTTAGGAAGCTGTTATTTGCTTCTGTTTTGCTTATTTGTTTTTATTTGTCTATGTCTTTGCAGGTTTTTCCTTAAAAAAAAAAAAAAAGTCTCAGTGGTCTGGAATGGGATAAGGAAGAGGGAGATTTTGTTTGTAGTCATTTTAAGATATGGGCTCCCCCCTCCTATGCTGTATTTATCAACCCCACTCCCAAGACACCTGCCAATCCTAATGTGAGATTCTCAGCCCCCACTGACTTCATATTAAAATGATCTAGAGATCATTTTTTAAAAGTTCCATCCTAGACAAGCCAAGGCCTAAACTGGTGAGAATGATGCCCCAATGAGAATATTTTGTGAAACCTACCCAGCAGTCAGGTTAGGATTTACTGTGGCAACTGGGATTTTGAAATGGGCTTCAGGGGCTGTGGTCCTGATTTCGGCTCTACCTGTGGTATTTCTCTCCCCTAGCTCAGATCCCTCATTACTGAGAAGATAATTATACAGTTGTTAACTACTCAACATGCAAAATGTTAGAGAACACCAATTGATACCCAGGAGAAAGTCCTTAGGAATTGAATGTTAGACAAATATCAAATCTCTGTGATGGTGCAACAGAAAACAAGTGGCATTTGTCTAACAAGTCACATGCAAGTTCAGGGCAGGCTCAAAACAAAACAAAAAAAAAAGGATTAGAAAATCAGAAAGAAGAAAAGACTAAGAGTTCTCAAATGATTACATGTAATCATGTGGAAAGGTTCTAGAAAGCTTAAACATTACTCTTGCAATGAAAAAAATTTCCCCATCTTTAAGCACTACCTGCAGAATGCTGAGTGGTTGGTTGGATCCCAAATTATGGAAGTTATTTTACCATAATGCATTGCAAATGGATATTGAAAGATGTGTTTCATTTTGCTTTGCTGAAGTAAAACTACACTAGGATCTGTTGCTGTTTTTGAACCCACACACCCAAGTACTTGAGCCCATTCTGTTTCACTAACCAGGTTGCAATCTCCTTGCATTCTGTCTGTCCTCCGTGGGCACCCAGTCTTCTCCAACAATGTTCTGATAAGACTTTGTGAGTTGTTGAGGGGTGTGTGGTCACCAGCAGAAAGAACCCGTAGGACTTCCACCAGTTGGCCTTGATTCCGAGTGCTGCTGTTCTCCTGGGAAGAGGGTCTGTCTGTCTGAGTATTGGGAAAGAGGCTGAGTAGAAGAAAAAACGGCACCCAAAATACTGAAATCTTTGTCCAGATGCACATGTCCAGTCTTCCTTTACCTTGAGTTGGCCTTGGATAGGGATAGGTGGGTGGCTGTTCACGGGGTAAAGTTGTAACCAGAGGAATTTCTGTGGTAGAGGGGGGAAAAAGGCTTCAATTATCTTGCCTGCAACATGTTTGAAAAGACTCATTAATTGGGTGGCTAAGCTGATTTGCAATGACAAGCTGTTTCTAAACAACAGGGGGTCTGTAGGTAATTTATAAGCTTAAATTACAGGCAAGAAACTACCATGGCTGTAGACTTCCAATCTGTAGAACAGTTGAGAAGCTTGTTAGAGTGCCTCTCATGGAACTTAACAGTCAGTAAGAGTCTCCCTTTATCTGCAGGCGGTACACATCATAGAACCCAAAACAGGCAACACCTTTATCTCATCCCACTGGAAAAGCATCAGGAGATTTGTGCTCCTAAAGTCAGAGAATAGAATTAAAGAGAAAGAGTCTAATAAATTACCAATATGATATTGAGTTAGAAGGCTGTGAACAGAGCAAAATACTGGAAAAACAGCAATGTTCAGGAAACACTGGCCACATTTAAGTTTAGTAAGAATCAAGTTTCTGCTAGCAATAATGATGACGATAATAATAATGACATTATTGTAAAAGGGGGACTGTTTGGTGGAAAGAACCAGCAGGAAGAGAAGGGGGAAACAAGTGATTGGGGGTTGAATGTGATCAAAGTACATTTTGTATATATGTATAAAAATAGCATAATGAAACCCACCAAAAACTGTTAAAAAGTGGGAGGAGGGAGAAAGGAGTATTAAGAAAGAAAAACATAGATGGGGTAAATTTGATCAAAGTATATTATATGCATGCATGTAAACATCACAATGAAATTCCTCTGTACAATTATTTTATGCTAATTAAAATTTTTTAAATAAGAAAAAAAAAATCAAGATTCTGGAGAATGAAGTATTTTTAGAAAAACAAGATTTCAAGACCCTAGGAGCTGTGACAAATCCACTCACTCTCTGGTCATTGAAAGGATAGTAAATGACATTAGAATTAATCAACTTTTGGAAAAAAACAAAACAAAAAGCAAATCTCTTTAGTTGGTTGTGTAAGACATACAAAATGTTAATAGCATTTTGTGTCAGATCCTGGCCCAGAGATGAGCCAGGGGTAATGACCTTGGTGTACTAACAAAGACACTGGAATTACTTTTATAGTTTAAAAGAGTTGAAGATTCTTATGTTAGCATTTAAAAAATTGAGAGAGGATGATATGATCATTTCTAAACCCAGGGCTTACCTTAGGGAAGATAAATGATTGTTTATCTCGAGTTCTGCAGCCTTTTAAATGTCGGACAGTATTTTGTGCTTTCAAAGTCCTCTGTTTTTTAAAATTCCTTGACTGTGCACTGGGAGCTGAAGAGGATTATGTCAGCCCAGAGAAGTTTTCAGTTGCCATGGAGAATGCTGCTCTGGAGGCAACAATGAAGGTGGGTAAGAGTGGGAACTCTCTGTCTGGCAGATTTTAGGACAACCAAATAGATGTGGTTAAGGAATTTGTCTGCTTATAACAACACTTAACCAAGTTTCTTAGAATTTCTTACAGTCATTTGCCTTTCAAGAGACAGAATCTAGATCAAAAAATTTTTGCCTTGCTAAGTGGACAGAGTTTAGTGTTAGATCAAGATTTTTTTCTTTCCAACTGATTCTGTGAAAACTGTCTCATCCAGATTTAAAATAAGGATTTGTTAAAAAGATAGGCTCTTTAGAACTTTATTCTATAAGGTACAGAAATTTTAAAGATTTAAGGCTTTTGTAAATAGAAGTTTTCAAACAAAAGTATTTATTGAAAGAATAAAGTTCTTACCTAAGAAATAAGTAGATAAAATCACACAAATGCATAGATTATGATCCCCAGGGTCTGTGGTAAATTTTGTGACATTGGATACTTCAGGCCTTGAAAAATGCAGCCTCTCAATAAACTATTAGTAAAGAAATGACTTAAGGACAAAGTGGTAAAATTTATAGGAGAAAAGAGAAGTTAAAACAAAATATTTCAAAGTACTCAGAGGACATACAGAGAGTATAGAATGCACAGGAACCCAAAGTAGAGACCACTAAGTTCCAGTCCTTAAGTTTGTACATGCAGGGCATTGAAGCTGGTGATGAGGAGGCTAGAAAAACTAGGAAAGAAACTGGGACAATCTCACCAATTACTCACTAAATATGAGAACTGAAAAGAACAGGATGGCGTGATCCTGAAAGAATCCCAGCAACAGTTAGACACAGGGAAGGCAAATATTCCCAGAAATGCCAGGCTTCTCTTTAATCATGCATCATGGTTATCTCAACCATCAAGGGAAGAGGCTTGGCCTGTCTCATGAACTCTATGTTGAGATTAACTGGAGTTAGAGTGTGGAATCATCAATCAAAGAAGCAAGGAGTGAGACCAAAGTTAAGACTTTCAAGCTTTCTAGGTGGGTGTGGTGGCTTACAACTGTAATACCAGCGACTTGGGAGGTGGAAATCTGGAGGATCAAAGTTGGAGGTCAGCCAAGGCAAAAAATTAGCTATACCCTATCTGAAGAATAAGTAAAGCACAGAAGGGCTGGAGGCATACCTCAAATGGCAGAGTGTCTGTCTAGCACGTGAGGCCCTAATTCAAACCCTAGAAGTGCAAAACAAACAAACAAAAAACCAAAACACTTTCAAATTGGAAGACACAGGCTCAAGACCAGAGAGCACTGAACCCAAAGCTCCCTGTGGGCTCATTACCCAATGGGGGACCATTTGAACGTGATAAACAAGTTCGACCCTGTCCTAGTCCCAAGGACTTGTTTAGGAAGTTACTAAAGCGAAAAGGTTCAGTGTCTATTCCAAAAATTAGCTGATCCTGCCTGATACTTCCAAATACCTGTGCCTTGCCATCAGTCCTCACTTTCTGGCTCAGCTCCAAGGTGCAGCTTCTCAAATTTGTACTAATCCCAGTGCTCTGAGGACAGAGGCCTTGTTGGGACCTGGTGACCTGCTTCTTTCCATGTTAGTGTCTAGCCTGAAGTCCTACATGGTCACAAATTCTCTGACTCAGGGCCTGGGTCTTAAACTCTTTATGCTTAAACCTGCTGGCTTCCTGAACAACCCGGAAATCAACCTTTCTTAAATGTGCTGATGTTTTCAATGCAAACCAGCTTCTACCACACAAAGAGGGAGCTAATTCCCAAGTCATCAAGTCATGGAATCAGCCTAGGTTCCCATAAACAGATGAATGGGTAAGGAAAATGTGATATACTTACACAATGAAGAATTATTCAGCCATAAAGAAGAAATGATGTCATCTGCTGGGAAATGGATGGCACTGGAGATCATCATGTTAAGTGAAATAAGCCAGTCAGAAAGGCAAATAATTGTATTTTCTTTTTATATGAAAAATCTAGATTTAAAAAAATAGATATGAAAGAAGAGAGTTATTTGGGTGGTAATAGGGGAATCCTGGTAGGAGGGAAGAAGGCAAGAGAGGGTAATGGGGGTTAAATATGATTAATTACATAACATGCAAGTATGAAGATGCCATAATGAAACCCACTATTCTGTAAAATTAATAATAATAAATAAGGAACTAATTCACTTCTGACTGATGTGTGCAAGGTTTTTGAGACCTATCTCATCTGATGCAGATTTCCTAACATGCGAACCTTCCTTTGTGGTATCACAGGAAGATGGAGTAGGGAAAGGACAGGTCCAACCAATCAGGCATTTCTTTAGTCACAGTTCTTTGATTTTTTGGGGTGTCCTAAGCTTCAAACTTTTTCCTCACGTCATACGATGTATTTATGCATATACCTCACCTTGATACAGAAAGAATTTAAAAGGCCCACCAGGATTCATAAAAGGTAAAATGGCAGCAATTCAAAATGATACTCTACAAGGGTAGTGACATCTTTCAGGGACAGCTCACAACTACCGTATACAGTCTTTTGGGCATGCAGTTCTAGTGATCAGCTCTCACTTCCATAATAATCACAGATTTATTTGTTTATTGTGATAATTTTCTAGCAGATATCTTTGGGGAAAGACAGCTTTTGCTAATTCACACAAGTGCACACTTTGGTCTAGTGACAGGGTGGAAGGGGTTGCTTTTCCTCTGTATGCACCCTATCCCATGGTAACAACTCTGGCAGTCATATGGGATCCCACAACTAAGACTTACCTTTGGGCCTACCTTTTCTTCAAATTTCCCTTATGTTGTCTTCATTCCTTTTTTTCTAAATGCTACCCCTTCTAAATGGCAATTACAATAACGGTGAGTATTCATACACTGTGCTAACTAACTTTATATTTTATCATGTAATATCAATTAAAATTAGTGAAATCCTCAGTGTCTGATTCAAAAATACTCAGGATCACATAGGTGCTACCAGAATTAATCTGGTGCTTACATCATTGATCAGCTTCTGTCGCAATGTGACCCAATTACAGTGCATGCTAGGAAATAGGTGATTCAAGATGTGTGCCCATTGTAAAGAAAATAATCTGGCATAGTTTGCTTTTTTGCATTCTCCCCAAAGCCCCTTCAGCCCAAATCTTCTCAGCGAAAAAAAAAAATAAAAACTTAAAAGAAGTCAAGGTGAAGATGTAGCTCAGAGCTGGAGAACTTGCCTAGCAAGTAGAAGGCCCTGGTTTGGTCCTTAGCACTGTCAAGAAATAAAAGTAAAATAAAAAATGAGTAAAAAAAAAGCTTTGTAAAGAAGTTGAACTTTCAGACAAATAGAATCTTAGGCTCTTCTATTCTGAAACCTTGACTGGGCAGGGATACGCTTTCAAACTCATATGGTTGTTGGCAATTTGATATCATCTGTCATAGAATGACATCAACAGAGTCAGAAGTGAATCTCCAGTTCCAACCACACTCAAGGAGATAAAATACCATAAGGACATGAATGCCAGGAGATAGGGACCTTACTGGAGGTCGTGGGGTACCAAGGGCAAAAGGGTAAGAAGTTATCTCTTACTATGACAATATTCCAAAAACTCTTTGTCATCCAGACTTTTCTGTGGAGGTGGAGAAGATGGAAGGTCTTACAACATCTTCTTCATTTCCTAACCACTCTTTCACCTCCTCTGTTTTAAAGTCCCTGGAATTAATTTCAAATATCACCAATCAAAGCATGTAGCTAACATTTAATACTTATTTAGAATATTGAATACTGATGTAAGTTTTTGTTTTGTTTTTTCTTTTTAATTTAGTCTTATTTACTTGATCCTAAAATTTAAAACTAACCTTTTGTGTGGGGGGAGGCAGGGGAAGGAGATAGGGTCTCTCTGTATAGTCGAGGTTCACCTTGTGATCCTCCTGCCTCCCAAGTTAGGATTATAGGAATGTACCATTGTACCTGGCTCTATAGGAACTGGTGTTTTTGCTGCTGTTGTTTTGATACAGAGTCTCACTCTATAGCCTAGTCTGGCCTCAAACTCATGATTCTCCTCCTCAGCCTCCTGTGTGCTGGAATTATAGGCATGCACCACCATGGCTGGCTAAGAACTAACCCTTTAGGATTTCAGATTAAAGGATATTAAAGAACATAGCCATTGCTATGGTTTGGATGTGGTTTGTCCTTCAAGAGTTCATTGTTGACAGCATGGTCTCCAGGGTGGCAGTTTAGGAGATGGTGTAAAACCTTTAAAAGATGGGGCCTAGGAGAAGGTCTTTAAATCCCAGGCAAAGGGACTGAGGTGGCTCTTATAGCAACCCTGAGAGAGTTACAAGAGCCAGCCTCACTCCTGAATCACCCTTTGGCTTCCTGGTTCAAGATTTGATTTCTTCTTCCTACAAGTGTCTTACCATTGGGATGCCATTTGCATTAAGCCCTCTTTGGAGACTGAACCAATGAGGCCTGTTCTGCCTTAGACATTGAACCTTTAGAACTGTGAGCTAAATAAACCTCTTTTCTATAAAGTTAGCCTGCCTCAGATATTTTGTCCTAGTGCTGAGAACAGACAAATACAACCAGACATGTTTTTTATTCCACAAACCAAAGACACTGCCATTTTCAGAATGTTTTAGAACAATAAAAGAACTCTATGTAATAATTTATTTTTCTTTTGAGATTAGGACTTTAGGTATTGATGAATACATAGAAATTCTGTGACTTATACTAAAATTCCTATCTTTTGAATAGCATTTAAACTAATGACATTTTTTAACTACTGAACTCACATATTGCCAAGAAAGAATGGCTTGATATTATTTATTAAACCATTGGCATTGATAAGTACTCTATCAAATAAATTGTCCAATGCTTATTATTCAGTGGATTTTAGTCTCAAGAATCTTTTTTCCTAGCATGTACAAGGCTCTGGTTCAAGTTCCAGCAAAAATATAAAAAAGATTCAATATTGGACCCTTCCAATACTTTGCATTATTATAAATTGTGCCTAATTGCACAAGTTATTTTAAGCAATTATATATTTCTGTATATGACTCTGTA